TCTGTTAAACATATAGAAAAAGCAGAACAACCGTATATCCATATTTCAAATAATATAAAACAAATAATAATTAGAACAGGTGATGACAGCGATAGTGATACTGATATATTATGTGAATAATTTTAAGTAATTTAAGTAGGTAATAAAAATAATTTGTAATTTTATTTTAGATTTAAACATAAATACATACATAAATAAATATTGTTTAGCATCTTTCCTAACCAAACCCCAAATAATTAAATTCTAAGCAAAGTACGGACCTGTCCGGCTATATTTCATTCTTACAGCTTGCCCGGGTCTTTCCTTAATTCGTATCAGTTACTCAATTTCTTCTATCTATGAACAGACTTTACTTACCCTTACCCTTTGACCTATTCAGTGAAAACAGCCTCGCAGGGTCAAAGCTCGAGAATCTCTTAAGAACGACACATATCACGTGATGTTAAAATAAACGCTTCTACTTATTCGAAAATACCCCGCAGCATCAATGCTTAATCAAATTTAAAACGGTTCATTTACTTTCAAATAAAAATTTCAAGTTTCTACAAATATTCGTTACGGTCCATCTCAGGCAAAACCTACTTAATGCAAAATAAACATCTGTTGGGATGGGTTTTATCACGTTCCTGCGAATGTCTGCGGTTAAAGTACTGTAAAATACTTAAAACGTCAAAGCAATAAATGCACTATATTTTTGGTTGTATTATACTAGGAAAAGGAGATTGTGAGTTAAGGCTCGCATTCTGCGCAGTTAGGGCGATGAAACAGTGGACCAGACGTCATCGTCTCGCCGGTCCAATTAAAAATTTAAACGACGCAAGTTCCAGGCCGTTTTTGTATTAAAACAAAGAGAGTCGCGACTGGCGCCTCGCCTTCACATCGGCGCCGCATGCACATTCGTCGCTCGCGGACAGTGGCGTCCACGCAATGCGCTCAGGAATTTCGCAGTACGACCACAGAATATATAGATTTCGCTCTGGTCGGTGCCAAAAATAGTGACGTCATCTGGCCCACTGGACACCCACAGGAGAGCGGTTTTTAATGCGTATTATTTTATACGAAACGAACAAGTCACAGCAATTTAAAAATAAAATTAAGAATATTGACCAAAACAAAATAAAGTTTTATTAAGTATGCTGAGTACGCTAGCTGTGTCGGGCGACCATACTATGCAATTCACAAGGAAAAAATAGAGCGTGTGCAGCGTAAGTTCCTTAGAGGGATAGGTTTTAAATAGGGAATGTCATTTGAGGAAATAAAGTAAGAGGAGAATTTGAAGCTTTTGGATTTGACATCTTTGGATAGTAGACGCATATTTTTTGTACAAAATCCTTAATAACTTGATGGATGCACCAGATCTTCTGGCATCTGTTGGTTTTCATATTTCTCCTATTAATGCAAGAAATAAGGCTCTTTTTAACATCGATTTTCATAGGACCAACTATGGCGTTAACTCGCCTACGAATCGAATGTGCAAGCTGACAAATATTTTGACAGTAGTTTTAATAAAGATAGATAAATAAAAGATTTGTAAATGGTATTACAGTAATTTGAAAAATATGTCTTATAAAAGTAAGTTTATACGATTAAAAGAACCACAGTTCACAAAAAAAAAAATTAGTAGTTCTATGTAACAAATATAAACAGTAAAAATTTGTAAAATTTAAATCCTCTTTGAAACGAGCTGTCATTGGCTGTGACCGGTTGTGACGTGAATTCGCTCGTAAGATTACGCGCCGGACGGTCGCTTACTTTTGTTATCAAAAAGAAAGTTTTGAAAATGACCGATGCCGATTTTTTAAAATGTCAATCTGACATATTTGGATATGTTTTGACATATGTTTGACATACAAAACAGCAAAAGTTTTTTTTGCTGAGGTTTGCGGTATTAAAGCTAAAAGGTATGTTCACAGAAAATTTAGTCAATATAATATAGAAATTGAAATATCAATCAAAATGTAAATTATTTAACAAAAAAACACAAAAAGGATTTTTTTTATACTTGTGGAAACCTAAAAACTGATTTTCTTTTTTTTTATATAGATTAGGAAGCCATTCCTATGGAGACTGCAGAAGGTTGGTTGCAAGTTCAAAGAGTTAAAAATGTTTGCACCGTTAAGGGTAAAGTGACACCTGAACGTAATGTTAACGCAAAACGACGGCTTTTACTTTCAGGTAGACGAATAAAAAGTTATTTGGCGTTTTACGGATTGGACTTAAACACGATGGCACGATTTGTAATGCTGTTTTTGTGTTACTTCCATTATTATCATGTAAAGCACACTAGCGCATTTAGTGTCGTTTAAAAGGAATGGTCACAACCTGAATTATTTATTGCAACTAAAATATTGGGTTTTGAGTTTTGATATTTGGTATGCGTTATTTTTATACATAAACAAATGTATTGAAGAAATTAAAAACAAATGTTCAAGTTTCAAGATTGAAGTTTTTTGATGCCGCTACATTATTTCCAATTACTTGGTAGACCAAATCCGAAATGTGAGCTAAAAGGACGGAATTTATCCTTAATGTTGGCGGTAAAATTTAATGTTGGCACGCGTGTCGTTCTTCACCAACCACCAAATTTGATCTGTGGTATATTTTGACATCGCTTTGTTTTGATTTGTTGCGTTTGTGGTTTAGTTTGTGCCAATTATACGCGAAAGGGTGCTTTATTTTGGGTCTGCCGTGTGAGTTCATTCGTTGAAATACTGAATAAGTAACGTAAGTTTTCTTGTACACGATCAAAACGCTCAAGAAAACTGCGTCTGCCTTGGCGTTTTTGGGGTGAATAACACAGCCATAGCTATGTAACCGTCTCGGTCGTACAGAAAACAAAAAACCGAGAGCGAGCGTAGAATTTTTTTCTTTTCTTTTCGAACGGTTCAAACGTTCTCGGTTATTACGCCGCATCTGTTTAGAGTTAAACCGGGTCCTTAAAAACATGTGGCCCGTCTGCATCGCTATCAAGTTTAACGCCTTCGCGGCGAATAATAAAATACGACTTTTCGCGCGTGAGGGTCACTCGTTAACAGTGTTGGGCAAACTTTGATTTTTATTTAAAAAATCAGAAATCATTGATTTTTTTTTAAATCATGAATTTTGTTGATTTTTTTAAAATTTCATAAGAATAAATATTTCCCTTTTTTTGTATCAATAACAAGATATTTAAAGCAACTATAGACAATATAGTACAATATACAGTATAAGTATTCAACAGAATTTACTGCGCAAAGATTTACAAATACCAGGCGTCAAAGAGCATGTAGCTCAAATTGTTAAGTATTTTCGCAATAACCATCTAGCTACAGCTAAATTTCGTCAAGCAGGAGGCAACGCTTTAGTCGTTCCAAGTGGTGTGCGATAAAATAGCGTTGCTGATTGTTTAAAGAAAACAAAAACCAAATCGATTCGACCATTTACAAAGACGTGTCCAATATTGGGCGTAAACAGGCAGCACAAGAATATTTTGCTCTTGATCATTTATTTTGCAGAGAAAAAACGCTACTATCTCAGATTCTGTAAAGCAGTGGCAACATTTACAATATAATAGGCATAGTTTTGGGGTGCAGTCACATTTTAAGAAATATCATTCGAGTGTTGTGGGCTGTTGTACACATTGTAAGTACCAAATTATTTATTGATAGATTTCATTTTTTTTTAATTTATAGAATATACCCAAGGAATTTAGTTAAATATCAGCGTGTCCTGTCTTTGAACTATTTTAAACGTTGTTACTTTGTTGATGGAAGTCGGGGCTACTCAGCACTAGTGATTGAAATAGGTACTATGTGTGTTCTGCCTTTAGGACCAACCTAAACTTAGTTCCAGATTTTATGCTATGTCAACATATATATCTGTTATCTGTGATTTCTGGTGATATTAAGTTTGCTCTATTAATCTTAATAACCTTTGGCACTTAGATTATTTTTTTTTAGTTTCAAATGCGAACCGTATCACCTCAATAAAAAAATTAATAAATAGAAGTATAAATCATGATTTTAAATTTAAAAAATCAACCCTGCTCGCTAATTGTAAAAAAATATGCTATTCATACCTAGGTACTGGTTTGTTCAGGAATCGCCAATCGCGCTCTCGTAACGCATCAAGCGGTACACTAAACACCATAAACCTAATATCCCGTTAAACTGCAAACGTCAATATCGTGCGCCGTGTCAAATATTTCGCGGCTATCTAGATTCCGCTCGTAAATCTCGTCGCTCGTAAGGAATTCGTGCGAGTTTGAGGAGGCACCTCTTTTAGGGCGTGTCCTCGGAAACGAAAAATTAGATATCGTTCTAGCCCAATTGCATTGCGGCGCAATTGCTCAATTTTTTTTTATTTAATTACTCTTAATTAACTTTTACTTTATCTTGTACGCGAAGAAAGTCCGCTGATGCATTATGTATCCGCGCGGCAGTTTCGTGTGTAAAAATTACGCGAAATCCATTATTCATCATTGTTTAACGCTGCGAATTATGTAAAATGAGGGAAAGAACGCGTCCCGATGCTATAATTTTACCGCTCGGCGCAAACGAGGCAATTTCATTTTCAAATAGCGTTTTTTTTTACAGGAGGCTGTTACGTGTCAACCTCGTTGTGGTCTGTGTCTACCGCTAATTAATTTGATTTTTATGTAAAGCGCGGTTGTTTTTCTAGCTAGACCGCGCTTTAAAAGCGGATCTGCGATCTGATTTGAATCAATTGAAATCAATTCGAATTTTTAAACTCTGCGTCGATGTCGTATTCGGTATTCTGTGGCGTTTCGCGAACGGCCTCGGCTTGCTGCGATGGTATAACGCGCGCATCGAACGAAGAACCGATACATCGTAATAATGCCTTATTAATATGCGTCGGGCTGCGGTTAACCATATCCTGACGAGAAATTGTTGTCGCGTCGCACATTTTTAATGTCGCGGTAATGAACCTGACGACCGATAAAGTTTGGAATAAGTTTGACGGGATGATACTCGAAATCCCGTCGGACGAACTGTACAAACCTGTATGCGGATTCCTGCGGCAACGGTACACGACACGTAAACACAAAAAAAAACACCGGACCCGGTTCAAGACCCGCTAGCCAGCATCGTCGAGAAATTTCAACAAATCGGAAAATCGTCGGAACCGTCGCGATTGTTTCCGTGCGTGTTCGAAGTCACGCGTTTGCGCACCTGCAGCGAAACCTTCTCCGTCGACGAACCGCCGTTTACTGCTGGCTTATGCCTGCGAAGACCAGCAGGAGTCGAGCGATCAGGATTTGACTTTTCGTGGTCAAGGGCGGAGGTCGGCGATAGCGCTTTCGAAAAAACTGAGGGCTTTTCGATCCCCAGTTGTGTTAGGTAGTGTTGTGTCAATCGCTCATTTTACGAGGACCGAATCAATCGGTGACCGATTTCGAAAAGGACCGAATCATTTCCATCAATCGTTCATTTCAATACTTTTTGTTGCCAGTATAAGCGGCAGTAGTCACTGAATCTGAACATTTGAATATGAATTATTGTTATGTCTATATGTATAGCTGTGTTCTGCTTTTTATTATATCATGATTTTATCAAAATAGGTGCTACGTATTTGGTTGTAATGTCTGCTCATAGATATAAGAAAGTGACCAATTGCTTTTGAATGGGATTATCCAAGGGTGGTCATTCAATGCAACAAGATTATTACCTAAAGTTTCGGAATTTAAATTCAAGTAAAATTGTGGTCCGTAATAGAAAATAATTTTTATACCTACCTGTGTATAATATTCTTTGGTTTGGTATACTACTTAGTTTAAGTTTATTAGTAATAATTCTTATTTCGTGTGTAACAAACACAGCGTATGTTGAATCGTGTGCGAATTATGCAAAATATGTGCGAGTCTAGTGTACCTCAGGAGATGCTCCCGCCCAAATGTAGAAAACACTATTCTATTGAGACTAAGGAAGTTATAAACAATGTTTATTTGACTCTCATTGAACGCGGTGCATTGACGAAAATTCCAACATCAACTGTATGGTTCGACACTTATGATACCCGGAAAAAGGTTGGGTTGATTCAACTGATAAGTGTAAAACAAACGGGCCATCAAAGAGAGGTAAAAGAATAACTATTTTGCATGCTGGCTCTAAAGATGGTTGGATTCCAAATGGACTTTCTCTATCCGCGAAAAATATTAAAGATTCTTCTCTGGATTACCATGAAAACACCGTCTCTGATTTATTTGAAAGTTCGTTTAAAAACAAACTAGTTCCAAACATTCCTCTTAATAGCGTCATCGTAATGGACAATGCAAGTTATCACAGCAGACAGTCGACTAAAACCCCTTCCTTATGTGACATGAAAGCAACAATCCAAAACTACATGTATAATAACGACAATTATTTTCACGAAGATTATACCAAAAAGCAATTAATTGAGGTTCTACAAAGCTTGAACCTACAAACGGAATATGTCAGTGATAATTATGCAAACAATCTAGGGCATACAGTTTTAAGGCTTCCACTTTACCTCTGTATTTTTAATCCCATTGAACAATGTTTTTCCCCATGTTAACAACAATGTCCTCAAACTTATAGAAACCGAAGTTTTTAACATCCCTCCACAAAGTTGGGCAAATTCTGTTAAACATATAGAAAAAGCAGAACAACCGTATATCCATATTACAAATAATATAAAACAAATAATAATTAGAACAGACGATGATAGCGATAGTGATACTAATATATTGTGTGAATAATTTTAAGTAATTTAAGTAGGTAATAAAAATAATTTGTAATTTTATTTTAGATTTAAACATAAATACATACATAAATAAATAAATATTGTTTAGTATCGTTCCCAACAAAACCCCAAATAATTCAATTCTAAGGAAAGTACGGGCCTGTTCGATCATATTTCATTTTTACAGCTTGCCCGGGTCTTTCCTTAATTCGTATCAGTTAGTCACTCTCTTATATCTCTGAAAACAGACTTTACCAGTAATACACTAAGTTGTTTAAATTAAATATCTGTATATAGATATTACATTCAATATTCAATTCAGCACATAAGCAAATCTACCGATCGATGTCGCAACTCAATACTATAGAATAATTATAACAATATTCCCATTCCTTTTTCTTGGCCTGTCTCAGTCATGCATTTAAATCTTAAACTATTCATCGCATCCTTATGAACAAGCGGGATTTGGTCGTATGATCTATGAATACAACTCTAGATTAGAAGAAGAGGTTGAAAACCGCGATTTTGATAACGCAACGGTGCTTCCGTTGCAATTTTTGCTTTCTCTTCGTCGTCTCTCTCGCGTTTTGCAAAATTACGACCGATTTCTAGCGTTTACCTTATAAATCTAACCCGCTTGTTGCATTTATAGAGTGAGAGTCGCCGGCCTTACTTGCATTGCCGAAATATGCCACTGAAAATTAATTTTTCAAAGAAACTATCACGGGCTACTTAATCCCGGTAGACTTCATGTGATTTCTACATGTATTTCTGCATGTATTGTTTCATGTAAATATTGAAACCTGTCTACTACTAAAGCGTTTGTCTTCAGAAACTTATAGGTTTAACTTCTATAAAAAATGTAAATGATAATAATAATGTTTGTTATCCTAAATTATGGTATGTACACCGTGTGCCAAAAAAAAGGATCAGGATAAACTATACGATCTGGAAACCCATAGGAGATACGAAATTTCTTGGACTCTCCTGAAGGTTTAAAATATTATAATTTTGTTGATACAGAGTGTCCTAAAAGTGTCCCCCCGACACCACATTTGTTATTTTAAATGAGACACCCTGTATATTTCGACAATTTTGGAATCATTGGTTAAAATCAATACCCAAAAAATTGGTTTAAAAACAAAATTCCACCAAAATAACTAAGCCCATTATCCTCCAAAAGATTGCATCGTGTCGACCATTAAAAAATTCCCAGTTAAAAATAACAGCAACTTTTATCTGCTAACGATAAATGCAGAAATATATGTCGAAATTGCGTAGTACCTTTTTTTTTTCTTTCTTTGCATTTCACAAAAAGCTGGGCAAAACTACTATGGCCGTTCGCCTATTACCGACGTCCGTCGAGGAGTTTTTTCTTGGTCACAGACCAACAGTTAACAAAAAAGCTATTACCAACATTTGTTCTCAGTTTCTAATATACGACTTTGAAAGATAACAAAAAACGGCCTCCGCCACTACCCCCGCGGACCATCGCGCAACCATATCGGCGTGAACAGAAAAAAACGACGGGGACGAGGACGATTATAACTTTAAAACGTATACTGAACACTAAAAACACCAAATCCATACAGTGGAGACCGATTTCAAATTTTTGGGGCGAATATAAGGGATTCTGTCGGGAGCGAATGGAGGTTAAACCGCCTTGTGCAATGCTCACGACAGAATCTGCATATTACCTACCGGACTTTATGTTTTGGTTATTCTCAAGTTTGGCTCTGCTCGTCAAAATTGCGTAAACAAATGATGATAGTTGCGTCTGGAATATGTAAGTGGTTTTTGAATAGCCTTTTAATAATCTAAACGAAAACTGCCAGCCCCCAAAAGTTTTATTTAACGTACCGATTATAGACATTAAACGATTAATTCGGTCAAAAGCGGTTCGCCGTTTAAGGCAGCCGCGATATTTTTGGCGGTAAGCACGGCCATGTCGTTCCTGGTTTGCACGCACGCGCTGCCGATGTGAGGAAGAATCACGCAATTTTTTAGTCCGAACAGAGGGTGTTCGAGAGGTAGAGGTTCCGGTGTTGTCACGTCAAGGCCGGCGCCCCATATCGTCCCGTTCCGTAACGCCTCGACCAGAGCGTCCTGGTCGACGACTCCTCCCCTGCTCGTGTTTACGAAAACGGCCGTCTTTTTCATTTTACCGAAGGCTTTCTCGTCGAAAAGGTTCTTAGTTTCCGGGGTCAAAGCGCAGCTGACGCTCACGAAATCGCTGTGCGTGAGCAACTCGTCAAAAGTCACCCTCTCGGCCCCGATTTTCGTGGCTTCCACGTTCTTCTCGGATCGGTTAAAGTAGAGGATCCGTTTGGTGCCAAACGGTTTTAATCGCTTCGCAATCTCTTGGCCAATCCTGCCGAAGCCTACTATTCCGACGGTAGAATCTTTAAGTCCCGGACCACACATCCAAAAAGGGGACCACGCCTTCCATCCGCCGGTCTTCGCTTCTTGGTTCGCTTCCAAAAGTCGCCGACTCGTTGCCAAAAGTAGAGCGACCGCCAATTCGGCAGTGGCGTCCGTCAAAATGTCCGGTGTGTACGCCATTTTGATGTCCCGTTTTTTTATTTCGTTCACGTCGAAATGGTCGTAACCCACGGACATGGTGGCGATAATTTTGAGGTTTTTGCCGGCGGTGTCTAATACTTCCGCGTCTATTTTGTCGGTCAGCATGCAAAACAATCCCGATTTGTTTTTTATGTTCTTTAAAAGCTCGTCGCGCGGAACCGGGCCCGGTCCTGTCCACGAAGCGACGTCAAATCTGTCAAAAAAGTGGTTGAGGTTAGGTAAACTTGTTTTAAAATTTTACAAAAACGAAGAAAAGTAGGACAATATTTAGACTTACCTTTCGGTGAGAATATCCAGGGCTTCTTTGTTGATGGTTCTGGTGATGTAGACCGATTTTTTCGACATAGTTCTGCGAGAAACTCCGAAAATTTTAAATTGTTGGTTGATGTGTTGATAGCCTATCGCGCAGGATTGTTGGAATATTCTTCGAAAGTAATGTGTTACGTTCATATGGAGAGAATTATTTTTTTCGTTTAGAACAAAATTGACAGACGTACTAGAGATATTTAAAAAGGTCAGAACCTCTGTTTTCACGATAACATTATTGGCGCTAAATTTAAATTCGGATTCCGGTTACCATGTCCCGGAGCAGTAAAAACCAGTTTCCCGATTTTTTCACCATGAAGGAAGCGATCCCAATAAACGTTACTCCATTAAAATTCGGAAAAAGGCCTTATTGGATGGCCACCGTTGCAACAGAATCGAGTTCTAGTAGTGACTATCGAGATAGGCCCTCCTTGCGACCTTATACAGACAATGACGATGAAATGATTGATTGTGCGGATTTGGACGACAACTATGAAATAACTGTTAACAAGGCCGGCCACTTTACAACATCATTTCATGTTCCATCTAGTTTCTTTTCATTTATTATTGGGACAAGAGGGTCTACATTGCAATCTTTGCAGAGAAGCACCAACACTGTCATCAAAATACCGAGGATCAATGAAAAATGCGACGTTGTCATAACAGGAGACACTGAACGTAAAGTGGCTTCCGCAAGAAACCAGATAGCCATGATGGTTTCTCAGAAAAAAGATAGGCTACCTCCCACACACTTTGTTGGTATCAGGATTGAATCAGATGAAATTACAAAGAATTTTTTGCAGTTTCAAGAATGTGTATTAAAAGATCCTGATAGGGGGGTTACAAAGTCAGTATTTCAGCTACCTGTCAAGTTTCATTTAACATTGATTGTTATGACGGTGTTGGATGAAGAGGAACTGGAATTGACGAAAAAGTGTTTGGAAAATTTTTATAATGAAGTAGTCACTAAAACATTTTCAAAGGACCGCCGTCTCCAAGTCACAGTAAAGGGTCTTGAAATAATGAACGATGACCCCTCATATGTCAATGTGCTATATGCCAACATTGAGATGGAGTCTCTCGAGCTCAGGAATACCCTGCAGGCTATGTGTGACAAGATGCTGAATGATTTTCACAGAGCGGGACTGGCCAAAAAACAATATGACAGAGTTAAATTGCACTTGACCTTAATGAACACAAGCTTCAAGCAACCAGAAGAAGGTCGCGAGAAATTTGATGCTTCTGGCATACTAGACAAATACGGCCACTATTATTTTGGCAAAGCGGAGCTGAAGGAGATTCAGTTGTGTGTCCGGGGTACTACAACTAGCGAACGTGGGGATAGGAAGTTTTATGATTCAGTTTTAACTCTACCCTTGTAAAAAATGTCAACTCCCAACACACGATATTTTAATAAAACATATCGTAAAACATTCATTTATTATAATACTGGGATAGTAAAAAATAAATATGGAATACTTCATGATCGTTGACTTAAACGATGACGTCATTAGCCAAAGCTTTTGCGGCTTTGAATGTATTGTGCATCAACATGGCGACTGTCATGGGACCAACGCCGCCTGGCACGGGAGTTATGTACCCGGCCACATGACTCACCCCTAAAAAGAAGAGTTGGTTATGTTCATAATGCAATCTTTGAAAGTGAAAAAAATGTTACCATCGAAATCCACGTCTCCTACAAGTTTAGTTTTTCCACTTTCTGTCGTGATTCGCGTAATGCCGACATCGATGATGCAGGCTCCAGGTTTCACCATGTCTGGTTTTATTAAATTAACGACTCCTGAAAGGCCGATACAAAATTGAAAATTGTGGAAGTGTGATTTTATATTAAACGTTTTTACCAGTCGCTGATATGATTATATCAGCCCTTTTGGCGAAAAACTCTAGTTCCTCGGAAGGCGTGTGCCTATGGCACAGGGTGACGGTGGCTTCAAGACCTGGACAATCATTTCGGGCATCAGAATGTAGCAGCAGTGCAATGGGGAGTCCAACGTTCTTCGATCGGCCGCATACCACGATATTTTTACCAAAGGTCTTAATGTTTGACCTCTTTATTAGTTCGATGACACCAAGCGCGGTAGCGGGTACAAAAGTGTCCATATTTATTGCTAATTTCCCCATGTTGAGTATGTGAAAACCATCTACATCTTTTCTGGGATCAACGGAATTGCAAACATTCCTTTCAGACACATGTTCAGGGACGGGGAGTTGCACCAGAATTCCGTCAACTGACGGATCTTTGTTTAACTTGTAAATCTGGGATATTATCTCTTGCTCAGAAATCGTGCTTGGCAAATTAATAGTCCTGGAAACAATACCAACATTTTGGGCTGCAATCATTTTATTCTCAACATATTTCTTGCTGGCTGGATCCTCTCCCACAAGGACAGCAATTAGACATGGGGGCCTGTGCCCTTGGCTCACCCATTGATCGATGTCATCCCGTATTTCTTTCTGAATGTCCTGGGCAATTTTTTTGCCGTCGATCAATTTTGACACTTTCCTAAAACAATAATCGATACTTAATTGAAACCTTAAATGAAAACATTAATCCTACGTCCAACGCATTGTTAAGAGGACTCTAGAATCAGCAACCACAAAACTCAAAATTACAGTGACATTGATCCCGTCTGGGAATTGAATTTATAGAAACATCAATATACAAACAAACAAGACTTATCTATTGGTCAATAATTCCAATTGCACAAATTCCTTATTTTGCACGACAAATCACAAGACCAATTATTGCAAAATATTAAATTCAAGGAAAAACAATTCAAATGTGTCGGTTGTCTGTAGTAGGATAATATATAGCCATGTTACCTTGCAAACAAGCAAATTTGAAAAGGTTTCTCATTAACTTGGATAGTGTTTATGCGAAATTTCAGGAATTTTGTTAATATCATCATTTTTCCACATTTTCTTTAGGTTATGCAGTGCTGGAATTTAGCTAGTGACGTAAGTGCCATAAAGAATTATTTTGAGACACATCCTTAAAACTGTTAAAAAAAATTTCTGTGTCAATATCTTTAATTGAGCAATAATGTAAAAAGATAAATCTCTGCGGGAGGCATTGGTTGTGACGACAAATTGACGCAAGGGTCATAGGTTATCTCCTAGAATGCGTCAGTTTTTGTTATTACATCGGTAATGACGGTAATATCTACTAATTACCTCGCACAAATTTTCCCGGTTTTTTCAAGAATAGCCGAATATTAAAGTAAAAAAAAAATTTTTTTCAAAAAAAATATTTTACTTACTCGTTCTCCATAACAAAAAACCAACATCCAAATTCCTAATCAACAATATATATATTGCCAAATACCCCGTTTATCTATAAAGAACCCTGACAAAATATAATAATCAAAGATCTGTCAAATTGCTTTAAAACAATGTAAAAACACGTGTCATAAAATCAAGTACTTTCGAGGTAATAATAAGCATATGTTTTGATTTTTCAACCTTCGGTTAAACATTTCCTAAACTTGCTCAAAGAAACGTATTACGAAAATAGCCCATTTACTATATTTCGCTGTATTTTATTAGAATAAACACCCAAAAACCTTTTTTATTCTTGCAAAAATTGAGTTCTTTTTTAGTAGTCTGTGCTCTGATTGCTATTTACTATAGAGAGCCACGGAAAATATAATTTGCGTCTCTATAATTAATTGTTACGAAAAATTTCTTCAAATAATAAAACACTACGCCAATTTGTTTGTAATGGAAAAAAATCTTCTTCGTTCTCCATTGTAGCTAGTAACATTAAAAAAAGAATATATAGGTTAGGTCCAGTAATGTTTAGGTGTATACTGTTTTTATTGTATAAATTAAAATAGATCATAGGTGATTCAGGATTAATCGGAAAATATGCAAAATGATGTTAATCAATTTCGTTGGTTTGTTTCTACTAGGTATCTAATCTATTATTTTGCTGAAACAGTTTTTCAGAAACTGTGTTTTAGGAGTTCATGGAACTGATGTTCTTCCTGAACCAGAACGAATAATGGAAAGTGAAGCAAATACTGTCCATAATGTTAAGCCTGCAGATATCTTTAGTCCAAATAGCACGGTTCCCTCCGCAAACACGACTACCACAAATAATACCAATAAGGTTGTAAATTGCCAAACTGGATTGAATGGATCTGCAGTGCAATTAGTGAATGATACAGAACTAATAAAACTCTTGGTGCCTGATCCAAAATTATCATCCGATCGGGATGCCTGGGCTCCATGTATTGCTGTGTTGTTTTACTCCAAAAATTGCCCTTTCTCCAGCATGGCTGCTCCACATTTTAATGCTCTGCCCAGAGCTTTTCCAGATGTCAGAATGGTCGCCATCAATGCTATGCGCTATCATTTATTTAACACCCAGAATGGAATTGTCGGGGTTCCAACCCTACTTCTTTTTCACAATGGCAAGTCTGTAGGAAGATACAACTCATCAGAATATACCTTAGATTCATTCTCCAAATACATTACCCTGCACACCGGTATCGAACCTATCACAAATGTGGCGGTAACGTCGGCAGACTTCTCTGGACCCGTTGTCAGCTCACCATCTAAAGAATCTGACATGTTTTGCCTGTTATCCTGGCTGTTTATCATTACATGTTCTGGATACTATTTTACGAAGTCCCAATGGTGGATTTGGATTGTTGAGACTATTCAGCGGAACTGGAGAGACTCGGAGGTACACGCTCAGCAACATGAACATGAAGATTAATTTTGATTTTTTAAAGTTAAATGGTGATTATATGTTACTACCAAACCTTTGTTTTATTGGGCAATTTTAAATTTTCGAATACTGTTAACTCAATGACGTCATCAACAAGCCTTTCACGTTATCTTTGATCGTGATAGGATCATTTGCCCATATCCCACAAAATGTACTCTGTCCAGAGAAGCGCAGTTTTACGCACTTAGTTTCGAAATGAAAAGAAGAGGAAAAAGTTGGTGAAACGAGGAAGTTAGGTTAGGGCTGTATGTTTATAAACTTGGATTTATATTTTATTTCTATCTAATAAACCATTAGTATGGTGCGAAGGTGAGTTCAAATACAGGCGAACAGCACGAATAGAATTGCAACTTAATTTCTAGTGGCGATAGAAGCAGAACTCCGGAGAAGAAGAGGCGGAGATCCAGATCTAGAAGCAAAGAAAGGTCTTCTAGGAGCACCCGGTCCAGACGTAGTCGATCTAGGGATAAAAGAAGGAGTAGATCGAGGGAGAGGTCCACTCGTGATAAGGGTGGAAGAGGAAGGAGTGAGTCAAGGGACAGAAATAATAGAGGCAGGTCTAGGTCAAGAGACAGGGATAGGGATCGAAAACAGTAACTCCGTTATTTTTGCAATATGTTATTCTTTTAAATTTGCGTCTATTTTAGAAGTGATACCAAAGATAGGAAAAAATCAAGAAGGAGATCCAGATCACGTTCCAATGAGAAGAAGAACAATGATTCAGGCTTGGCATTTGATCCGGCCAACTTGGATAAGGTTTACTTCATTGCAGATTCTTAAGGCCCTTTAGTTGATTGTTGTCTATTTTAGGAAGAGGAACAGAAGAAGTTGGAGCTTGAAATGCAAAAGAGACGAGAGAGGATTGAAAGGTGGAGGGCAGAACGCAAAAAGAAAGAGCAAGAGGCGAAAATTGATGCCAAATCTGATAATTCAGTGCCGAACCTGACTGCTCCACAGGAAGCGCAGAAAAAATGGTCACTGGAAGATGATTCTGAAGATGAAGACAAGAATGAGAAACTGGAAAAGGAAGAAACTGATAAAGAAGAGAAAGAAAATGACAAGGATAAGGACAAGGAAGAGCAGAAGCAAGAAGAGGCTCCTGCAGTTAAGGCAAAAGAACCAGAAGTCGTAACAAATGAACCTGTTGCTGATGAAGTGGACCCATTGGATGAGTTTATGATGGGTACAGGTTTATCACAAGTTTAGTTTATATGATTCTATTTCCTGTTTTTTAGGTGTGCAGGAAGAGGTGAGAAAAATCAATAAGATAGATATGAAGAAGCCCAGCAAGGCAGATACCAAAAAAGGTTCTTTAGTGATATTGACTGGGGTTGCCAAGGCGAAACAAGATACCAATAAAGGGGAATTAATCGAGCAGAATCAGGATGGTTTGGAATATTCTTCTGAAGAAGAGGCTGAGGACCTAAAAGACACCGCGGCAAGCATAGCAAACAAACAGAAGAAAGATTTGGCTAGGATCGATCACAATAATATCATATATCTTTCGTTCAGGAAAAATTTTTACGTAGAGGTGCCGGAAATCGCGAAAATGACTCACGCCGAAGTGGACGCTTACAGAGAGGAGCTTGAGGGTATAAAAGTTAAAGGTAAATGATACATAGTTTGTTTCTCATTTGTTTTTATCGATGTACAAACATCAATTCATCCTGTTATTTTATTGGTATTTCTTAAATGAAAACGCATGATTTTTAAACATTTGTATTGAAAAAACTGCTAAGAAAAGCAAAACCAAAGCGAGAATTGCAACAACCCGATCTACGGGGCACCCTGCAACTGCAAGGGAAAGCACAAGAAAAAAGGTAGGCGAACGCAAACGTTTGATCTGCCTTAATCTGTTCAAAAAATATTTTTATTTATGTTTGTGTTATATAATAATAGCACTTTATTTCCAACAGGTAACGTGACCCAATTACAGGAAATATTAAATATAAATCATCCAATATATATACTAGGGGACGTAGAAACTAATCTTAAATCTACTAATCTTATAACTAAAATAAATAAATAAATAAATATAATAAATAAATAAAATAATAATAATAATAATAATAATAATAATAATAATAATAATAATAATAATAATAATAATAATAATAAATAAAATAAATTGGTCCTACAGTTGCAGATGTTTTTTGTATCCATCATTCTGCCGGACTTTAAGTTTTATTCCACCAAAACTAACCGATAGGTGTGCAAAGTAGCGCGATATCGCGTTGAAATCAAAGCTGGGATCAAAAATTTGTTCCCTAAACATCAACCGATTTTTTTTCTTTTTCTGCGCCGATGCTGTATTTATTTTATCACGCGGCGAAATTTAAAGGTTTTTCTCAATCATTTTAAATTTATTCTTTTAATTTCTTATTTGGGAACTCAAAAGATATCAGCTTCACAGAGGCATCTAAGAATTTAAACGTCTAAACGGTTGCAAGCATTTCCATACCGTGTACAATGACTTTTTTGAATTACTTTACGTATTTTTGGGTAGCTCCCAAGTAAGTTCCTATAGTTTAATATTTAACATTATCCTAGAATATAATTCATGGGTATGATGCTATTAGGCAAGGGATGTCCAAAGCCCATCAAAACTTGGGCGCAGTGCGGCGTGTCGACGAAAGAACTGAACGTATTGAAGAAATTGGGGTTCGATAAACCCACTCCCATTCAGGCGCAGGCGGTCCCCGCTATAATGTCCGGCAGGGACCTCATCGGTATCGCCAAAACCGGTAGCGGGAAAACGCTCGCCTTTCTGTTGCCGATGTTCCGGCATATACTGGATCAGCCGCCCCTCGAGGAGACGGACGGACCCATCTCCATAATAATGACGCCTACCAGAGAACTTTGCATGCAAATTGGCAAGGATATAAGGAAATTTACCAAAAGTTTGAATTTGCACGCGGTTTGCGTGTACGGCGGCACCGGAATATCCGAGCAGATCGCCGAACTCAAGAGGGGTGAGTGCTACTTTAGTCTTGTACAGTCGATAGAATGAAGAAGAGACGGGATTCTGGCCGGCCGACAGTTGACAAGTGTTTGCTACTTTTGTTCGATGTTTCAGGGGCTGAAATTATAGTATGCACCCCGGGACGCATGATCGACATGCTAGCGGCGAACAGCGGCAAGGTGACTAACCTCAGACGAGTGACCTACATCGTTCTCGACGAAGCGGACCGCATGTTTGACATGGGATTTGAACCACAGGTTAGTTAGTTAGTTAATTTATTTCTACTGACCACAACTACATAAGGTCATTCTGCCAGCTTACAACAACAGGTAACTGTAGACAAAAATTACTTAAAGTTGCTTGTGCAACGAAACGGTCTGGACTAATCCATCGTCCTTCAGGTTTGTGGACAGTGGAACAACTTTGAAATAATTAATAGGACAAAAAAGGTGTGTGCCAACAGTTTAAATCCAAATTTTCAAATTTTTGCTAGTTGCTGCGACTTGCAGATTTGCGCACAATATCGTTTAAAACAATAAAAAAATTATTAAAAATTGGGCAGATGAAAGAAATACAGCCGTTTTTAAATGTGATATCTGCAAATCAAAAAATTGTAAATCGTGTGGGAAGTGAAGGTATCGGAACTGAATTCTGGTGTAATGAAATTCTACTGTGCTATGTGCAGGGAACACGAGCCTGCATTGATGTTTCAACTTTTAGTGCAGTGTAGAGACAAGTTAATTGACACCAAAGAAGAAGAAATTTTATGAAAAGATCACGTAATTAAGAGTCTAGCCGAACAAACTGTGCATTTAAAAAGGGAAGTAGGAGAAATGGGCAAAAGAAGTGATGTAACTGAGCATGGAGCAAGTGGAGCAAAAAATTAACTACCCCTGCACATAAATAGCAATCAATTCATAAGTTAATGTATAATTATTCAACCCGAGCGTGAGAAGACTTCTATGTTCCTCCAGCGCGACTAGCTATGGCTAGAATGATGTTTTTCACAGTGGACTTATTCAATACAGCCGAATGCCTTCAGCAGTGAAGAATTCAAACTCAGTCAAGTCGTTTAAAAAAAAGTGCTTTATACTGTATATTAATTTATAGCCACATTTGTATTGTATTGTTAGATTAAATTATTATTATTTGTTGAATAATACTAATATACTTGTATCTTGTTAGCAATATGCTACTAATCATTAATAATAATATAAATAGTCATAAAATGCTGACCCATCCTTCTAGCGGTTCCGATCCCATCTGGCCTAGTTACCAGCGCGAATATAAATTTATAGGCACCGCGCCTCTATTATTTCAGATAACAAAAATACAAAACACTGTTTTAAGTCAAACGACACTAATTTCAATCGAATTCTACATTTTATGCAACCGGGTTTTCCCAACCGCGTCTTCTTTTTCATTCGCAGGTCATGAGGATCATCGATAACGTCCGTCCCGATCGGCAAACGGTGATGTTTAGCGCGACGTTTCCCCGCCAGATGGAAGCTCTAGCGCGCAGGATCTTGGTGCGACCGATCGAGGTGCAAGTGGGCGGCCGGTCGGTGGTCTGCAAAGAGGTGGAGCAGCACGTGGTCGTGCTGGAGGAAGAACAGAAGTTCTTGAAGCTGCTCGAGCTGCTCGGCCTGTATCAAGAGGCGGGCAGCATCATAGTGTTCGTCGACAAGCAGGAAAACGCCGACATCCTGCTGAAGGAACTGATGCGCGCCGCCTACAACTGCATGAGCCTGCACGGCGGCATCGACCAGTTCGATCGCGACTCCACCATAGTGGACTTCAAGGCGGGCAAAGTGAAATTGTTGGTGGCGACGTCGGTTGCGGCCCGCGGTCTCGACGTCAAACAGCTGATCCTGGTCGTGAACTATGACTGTCCGAACCATTACGAGGATTACGTTCATCGGTGCGGTAGGACGGGCAGGGCGGGCAATAAGGGTTACGCCTACACCTTCATCACTCCCGAGCAGTGTCGATACGCGGGCGACATAATTCGCGCGTTCGAGCTGGCGGGCGTCGAAGTACCAGAACCCTTGAGGAACCTGTGGGACGAATACAAGTCTAAGCAGGAGGCGGAAGGGAAAAAGGTGCACAGCGGGGGCGGTTTCAGCGGCAAGGGTTTCAAGTTCGACGAGAACGAGGCGGCCGCGGCGAACGAGAGGAAAAAGTTCCAAAAGGCGGCCCTGGGTTTGGCGGATAGCGACGACGAGGACCTCGAGCACGACATTGATCAACAGATCGAGAGCATGTTTGCGACGAAGAGAACGGTCAAGGAGATTAAGGGACCGCTGGGTAAGCCTATTTTTTTTTCGTCGAGGAAAACTGACCAGAGGCGTGCGTCTTTTACACGATAATGCACCCGTCCGTACTGCTGGTGTCGCACAAGCTGCCATTTTATAGTGTGGGTTCCAACAGATAGATCATCCTCTCTATAGTCCAGATATGGCCCCCAGCGACTATTATTTGTATGGATATTTGAAAAAGGACTTACGTGGACGGCGGTTTAACGACGAAGTTGAGTTAAAAGAGGCTGCTTTAGCTCATTTTGCAGACAAACCAAAAGAATATTTTTTTAAAGAGATGTAATAAGTCTATTGAAGTTAAAGGGGATTAAATTGAAAAATAAAAAAAAAATGTTATTCCACTTTGTTTCTTTCATATTCAGGCCTGGAAATTTTGAATTGAAATTTTAACACAAGGTTAGGGGTAAAATTCATTAGAATGAAGTTTTACAAACACTTGTATCTGAAAATTAAAATTATAGCAACATTTTTCAAGAAGCCATTTCCAAAACATTTTATCTTGTGGTTAAATAACAATATTGTTAAACTGATAAGTAGTCTCATCACAAATAAGATTAAAATTTAGAAGTTTATGTTATTTTTGTTGTTGTTTAATTAAATATTTTTGTATACCCTGGCGAGGTGAGGCAACTAAAAGGATCAATTTGTTACAGGTATAATAAATACGACCGTGAGCAGTTCGGCAGTCGACAAGTTGGAACTGGCGAAGAAGCTGGCCTCAAGAATCAACCTCATCAAGTCGACGAGTTTGGACACGAAGTTCATGACGCAGCAGGCCGCGGAATCGATCTTGAAGGGCAGCAGTTCGGCCCTGCCTATTACGGCCAAGACGGTGGCAGAGCAGTTAGCCGCCAAGTTGAACACCAAGCTCAACTACCAGCCCAAGGACGACGACGAGCGCATGGAGGAGGATAACGAGCAGACGTTCAGAAAGTACGAGGAGGAGTTGGAGATCAACGATTTCCCGCAGCACGCGCGATGGAGGGTAACCTCCAAGGTAAATAATCTCTTTTTTAACATACCTTCTTTTTTAAACATTGAGCAATTGCTTATACACAGTGAATTTGTTCAACTTTTTAAATTGTAATATGTAAGTTTGTAAGTTTGGCTATAAAAAATCTTTCGCGCCTCTAATACGCTTACGGAGTACATTTGAACTACTTTGTCAACTTTGCCCATAACATTCAATAACTTTGCTATTGAAAAATATCTCCCGCCTGTAGTTTTGGGTATTAATATTAAGTACATTTGAAATCACAGAACATGTACCGGATGTACAATTCAGAATTGAATTGAATAATTTTCATTTTCCTGCTTCATCGTGTAGTGAGTTAGGGGTAAAAATACATTTGTTTTGAATTCTTGGTCTATTTGAACTAAGTTATAGGTACTTTTTCTTATGGCGCAACTTGAATTTTTTTTACTATGACGATGATGCAATTTTTTGGTTTGTTAAGTGAGAAAGTTCTTGACTATATGGGGAAAACATACTTTTCGGACCAACAGTTTAGTTAGCGCGCGCTAGAGTGTCGCAGCGTTTTTTTGTTGTCACTAAAGTCGAAGTGAGTGGCCCAAACCGCGTGTTTTGCCGAAAGGATTAACGATCGGACTTATCAGTTGATATTTGTTAAAATACGATGTCGGTTTGGTCGGTTTCACATAAAAATCTACTTAACGATGAGATATTTTATTTATTGTACAGTAAACAAAAAAAGAACTTCAAAAAACTATTATGTTTTACAATGAATCCTTGTTACATAAAGAAACGCTATTTCATCGCACTAAAGAAATGAAAGAGTATTTAGAGTATATGAATTTTTGAATTTGGGGTTATTTTTTGAAACCGGTGAGAAACTTTTCTGAGAACATCACATAATCTATCTCTATATGAAACTACTTCTGAGTAATTGCGTGCACAGACACTTTTTTCTATTTTTCACAAGTTTCTGCTTTATAAAAATGCAAACCGAATGGGTAAATTGTATAATGTTTCCCCTTTGTCCCATTCTAACTGCGATTGGTCAGTGTCAAATTTCGTGTACTCTTCAGAGGAGGTTTTTTTTTCGGGAAGTTAATTAAACAAAAAATAGAACGAATTTTTTTATGGTATCATTTTCCCCCGTGGGTGACTATGAATTATTTACGATTAATACTTATAGAATTGTTTCCTTGCTCATATAAAGTTCAACGTTTGACGCAGTGATCAAAATGTATGATTTTGGTCCCAAACCTCAAACAAAATATCACCTTCACGATTATCACGACTTTCACCCGCAAAATTTTCGTATGAAGAATACAAAAAAAATTGTTGGGGCTTCACGGTAATAATTCAAAATTCCAGTGGAAATACGATACTGAGCAGGTAAGGGGACAGCATCGAAAAGAGTGCACCAAATTGGAAAGGGATAAAAGCCGTGACCCAAGTGCGACAGATTTTGCTGGGCTGTCCTTCTCTACTTTTGTGAAAGTTTTACTGATTTAATTTTAAAAATTTGCGTTATTAAAAGTCTATGGATGTTAAAATTATTGAAGGAACGTTCCTAACATCAAAATTAATTTATTACGGGAAGATATTTTATCTCAGAAGCTGAAAAAAAAATTAAAAACAGGCTTTGTTTGTATTGTTATATATACAGGGTGAACACAAACTACTTTATTATTTTAAATAGTACACCCTACATATGGTATTATTTAATTCCATGGAATTACCGTTTATATTTAAAGTTTGAATAAAAAAGTCATTAAATCATTAATGAAAAAAAATATCCGATTTAAAAAATTGCAGATTTCGAAATGTTAATAATAAAATGTTAATATTTAATTGGCCACGAAGATAAGGTCGAAATGTGACGAACAAAAAAAAAACAATAAACTATACAAAAAATGTTTGTAATTAAGTTATTTTCGTAAAATTCCCTATTTCAATAAGTTGCAGATTTCGAAATGTTAAAATGTATAATTATTAATTGGTTCCGAAGATAACGGCGAAACGGGATAGAAAAAAAGCAATCAATATATCAATCATGTCTGGTGATTAAGTTATTCGCGCAAAAGCTTTTAAATTTGTTTGATTTTTAGGCAATAAATAGATTTTGTTTACACAAAAATCTCGTTTTTATACATATATATAAAATTACTTTTACAGATGTTTTTATTAAAATTTTTAATATCACTTGTTGGCCACTTTTTCAGTATTTATTTTTAAAATGTCAACACTGATCACCAAAATTAGATAGAAAATTAAGTATACATATTTATATTTTTGGCATAAAATTAAAAATATGTCAGGAACGGAAACAGTAAATTTTTAGCTGTCCCTCCCTGTACATTTTATAGCAAAGTTGTAATATAACTTTTTGAAGGGTCCGGTCCGGTTTGAATTAATTTTAATAAGCCAGTTTTCAGTTGTTGAAATAAATATGATGGGAAAATTAGAAAATTTTTATAACTTAGGCAATAAATCAAACACCAGTAAATTTTGACAATGACAACACGAAAATTCGTGACAATATTGATTTTTATTCGTGATTGTTGTATGTTATTAAACGCGCTTTAATTAAAGCTAAATTTGCGTTTTTCAATTGAAGAAAAAGTAACCATAGTTAAGTGGTATTATGCCATTTTTCTATAATACGAAAAGCGCTAAGAGCTCCGGGAAGGCGATGAAGAAATAAAATAGCGCTTTGTTTTGAAATGATGGAAAAAGCAAATAATGATAGGGACTTTTAAAAAAATTATTTTACTGATAATATTCAAAACTGTTGGTATTAGAGCCAAGACAATGAATATCTTTTTGTTTTCTTATCGAAAAATAAATGTTATCCTGGGAATTTGTGGACATCTTATTATTGTACTTATTTCAAAATCCATTTGAACTCGCGCTGGAAGAAGTTGTGGATGATGAGATGGATCGTTGTCCCGTCCATAATTACCGTATGGTTGGGGAGTATTTGGAAAATAGTTTTGGCTATTCAGGTCGCCTTATGTCACATTAATGTTATATTTGAAAATTTTAAGCTGTTACAAAACGCTATTTCCTTAGAATATGAACTAGGCATTTTTAGAAATGAATTTTATGATCCCATAGGATATTGTTTAACTCTTAATGGAGGCTTGTCTGAACATTAACTTAAAAAATAATGTTTCTTTTTGGCAATGTTTTGTAGCCGTATTTTTATTTTATTTATTAATTATTTTTAATAAGACTTGAGGGTCAAATTTATAGTCGTTTCTTTTTGTTTAAACCGCCCTGAAGATGGGCTTATTACAATTTATTTAAGCTCGGTCCCTTCAAAAAGTTATTTTGGTATGAAATGTACAAGGGAGCATATTTGGGCACCTGAAAATGTACATGAGATTTTCTATGTTCCGTTCGGCAATCCATCGACAACTGCAAAATTCAAAAAATATTTTAATATGCAAAGTATTCTACTGAAAATGAGGTAATTTAAAATTGTAACTAATTTTGATAATAACTTTGTCTCGAAGTAGACAAAACCCAAAAACGCGCCCTTTTTACAAGAATCAACCATTTTCGGGCATTTTGTAATCGATTCTGTCGGGTCAACGTCGTCGCCGTGCCAAACATCGAAATCTGTTTGCGTGGAAAATGTTTATTTTTTTTTGTTCGATAATTATTTATTTTTACGCGTCCAATCGTGCGTGACTTGTTTACGCAAACACAGCACTAACTTATCTCTTGTACGGCCTGTTACTAAGGCCGTTAACATTGTTTAAAAGTCATCGCAATGTTAATTTCGTTCCGATTACGTTCCCGGTCAAATTTTCCATCGGAAATTTTTTCGTCTACGAAAATAAATCGTTTTTGTTTTCCGCAGGAGGCTCTGGCTCAGATTTCGGAATACTCGGAGGCGGGCATAACGGTAAGGGGCACGTACGTGCCGCCCGGTAAGTCTCCGCCCGAGGGCGAGAGGAAACTCTATCTAGCGATCGAGAGCACGTCGGACATAGCTGTGTCGAAAGCCAAATCGGAAATCACTCGGCTGATCAAGGAGGAGCTGCTCAAACTGCAGACCTCTGGCCACCATATGATTAACAAAAATAGATATAAAGTTTTGTAAAACACACCCACACGCCCATACGAGGTGTTATGTAATTGGTGACCCAAACTGAGGCGTGCGTTTTTTTGCCATTCTTCATATACAGGGTGACGGAGTATTTTTTAAAATATCGTTCTTTTAAACCGACATTTTTCCATCCGAAAAATCGTAGTTTATTTGAAAATGACGTCAGAGTCCAGTGAAATTCTGGTTCCTTTCGAAACGTAGCCAATATGCTTTGACATTGATTACGATTTCTTGCAAAAATGTAGTATTTTGTTGCTAACAACGTTCTGGTCTGGTAAAATGACTTTTTCAAGAATTACCACAATAAAAAAAAGGATTAAAAATGGAATATGCAACTGGTTTAAATTTTAAAAAAATTTAAAAACACAATCGAAAGGAAAAAATGTTAGCGGCTTGCAGTTTTCGGTATATAACGTCCCCGAGACGCTGCTGGACTAAATAGGTCTTTATTAGTCGAAATAACAAGACAAAATAAAATAAGTAGAAAAATCACATCCCGAATTTTAAGACATGAATTGCATAACACCCTGTATGCGGGCGGCATTTTGTGGAATAAAATATCGATTTTCGGCTGTTGTTATTTTTTTTCCAAACCATCGGATGTCGGTGACCCCAGTTGGTAAATCGTCCGGCTGATAAGTTTCGAACTTTTACAAGCGTTCGTCGGAGACAAAATTTAGATACAGATGGATTTTTATCTAAAAAAAAAGCCGGGTAGCGATATTATTAGTTATTCAAAATGCAAAAATAATAAAATTCAACCAAGAGTATGTACGCGTTTTCTCTTCGAACAGAAAAGTGAGGCTAGAAAACACTATCTTGCCTATTTATTGCGGTATATCATGACATTTGACTCACGAGTTTATTTGATGGAGCGAGTGACTTAAAAAGTTTTTCGACTCCCGTCTGAAAAAATCCCTAATTACCCACCGATCTAGCGTGCGGGAAGCGTCACTTTACAGTATAGTATGCAACACGTTCGGTAATAGCAACAAGTGCGGTAAACGGTTTTTGACTCATCGAGTTTAATTGACACGAGCGGAGCGCAGCTGGGCGAGTTTTTAATAAACGAGTGAGTTAAAAAGTTTACCGGATGTGTTGCATACTATTCTTTTTCCACGACCGTTAGTTTTTGGGTACATTTTCGCAAAACACGAATACATTCACTGACATGACTGTCAGAATTGACAAACGTCAAAATTCAAAGCGTGGGAAATATCTCCGAAAACATTCGATTGCTCCCAAATCCGTGCGGTAAAATCCCGGGATGCCCGGATTCATGGGAAACGAAACTGACGTGGTAAAGTGACGCTTTCCGCACGCTAGATGGGTGGCTAATTAGGTAATTTCTACTCCCGTCTGTAAAAAACCGTTAGTTTTTGGGTACATTTTTGCAAAATAACAAGAATGCATTCCCATTTTCGTAAAACAACAAGAATACATTCGCTGACATTTCCGTCAGAATTGACAAACGTCAACATTCAAGGCGTGAGAAATATCTCCGAAAACATCCGATTGCTCCGAAATCCGTGCGGTAAAATCCCGGAAATGTCCGAAGTGGCTTGGATTCATGGGAAACAAAACCGATGTGGTAAAGTGACGCTTCTCGCAGTTAGATCGGTGCGTAATTAGTTATTTTACAGGCGCGAGTAGAAAAAATATATTGAAAATGTTTCTCGAAAACCGAAAACATCTCAAAATGGCAACATAAAAATGCGCGTGCGAATTGTCTTATATTAAGGAAACGGAATGTAAAGCATTGCCATAGTTAGCGGACAATGAAGACTCGATAGCCAAAAAACAATAAAAATAGCTTAATATCGTAGATAAGACTCGTGCCTAGTTGTTCAATGGGAAAGGTAATACAATAATACAATCTATAGTTAGTTACTAATATCGAATCATTATTGATTTTAATAGGAAAAGAAAGCCAATTAACATTATCGAGTCAGTTTTGGTTATTTATTATTAATAAAAAAAATAATTGAGCTATAGGATGTTAACGTTAAAAAAAATTATCATAATTTTTCTTATCTAAACGCGGAAAATAGCGAACGTAGAAAATTAATTCTCGTCCCAAAAGATGTTTCCTCGTATGGTATCCATTAAATTCCAAGAAAATATCAAAAGCTTCCTAAGTAAACTTGGATTTTTTTTGTTTTATTTTTTTACGTGATTAAAAAAACGATTATAATTTTTGGAAAAAATAACAAAACGTGCCTCGTAATGATCATAAGGTGTGTATATAAATTTCATAAAGATATCTAGTCATAAGGAAGTTGCCATATATTTTTTCTTAAATTCTTTAACAACCATATGATTCAAAAAGTACGAGGTTTACGACATATGTTGGTATTAAATTCCTTCTGAAAATCATCTATGGATTCACACGGGGTTTCCATTAAACACCCAGTACAATTAATTTTGCTAATTAACAATTTCAAGGACCAAATTAACTAAGACACTAATTTAATTAAAAAGCCGAATGAAAAAATAACGAACCGACCCCATTACTAAATTAAAATTCCTGAAATTTGCTACGATGATACTCTTTATTGAAACTTTTTTTTGCTTCTTAGAGTTGCCGCTTAAGGTTTGCAGTTCTTAGGGGCTATAATTCTTTTACTTATCGCTCGTGGCATTTTACCGAGATTATTTCCTGGCCATCGAACGCGTCCAATTACAACGAATTTTTCTAATCGGCGCACACAAATAATCGTAAAACGAAACGTCCGATTGGAAACAAAAAAATCTATGCGTTATCGACGGCGCGGGGTCAAAAACTGACCCCCGTCGAAACCGTATTTAAGTACCCTCCGAAAGAGTCCTACGGTACACAGCTGAGTTCTCCCGTTTGGTCGAGATGAAGCTCACTCTCGCCCTTGCCCTCGTGGGTGTTTGCGCCCTCACGTCCGCGGTACCGGCGCGAATTGGTAAGTCAAAATTAAAACCCACGGACCTCAAAATTTCTTCAACCCACTCCCTTACAGTCGACAAGGACCTTTTGATGAAGCAACGCAAAATCCTCGGGCTGCTCTACCACATCAACCAACCCACACACATCGACGAGCACGTTCAAAGCACCTATGACGTTGAAAAGGACAGAGACAGCTACACGGTATACTCTACCGATTCCAAGCAATACTATGTTGATACCTCCATTTCCAGAAACCCGAAGTTGTCGACAAGGTAGTGGAATTCTGGTACAACGGGTACCAGCTACCCAGAGGTGAAATCTTTTCCATCGCTTACCCCAATCACTTGGAACAAGCTATGGCACTGTTCGACCTCTTCTACTACGCAAAAGACTTCGACACCTTCTACAAGGTGGCCATCGAGGCGCGCAAGTACGTCAACGAGGGGTTGTTCCTGTACTCCCTGTCGGTTGCCGTGGTCCACCGCCGAGATTGCTACGGCATCATGTTGCCTCCCATCTACGAGATCTACCCAAACTATTTCTTCGACAGCGAGACGATCATGGAGGCGTACAGGATGAAACAAACCATGTCGGGCGTAGAATCTGGCAAGACTCACGGCCTAACCATAACGTCCAATTACTCAGGGCACTACTTGAACCTGCACCCTGAACAGGCCATGTCTTACTACATGGAGGATATCGGTATCAACGCGTTCTACTACAACTACTACTTGTATTACCCCTTCTGGATGGACGGCGAGAAATACGGGCTGGACAAGGATTGGAGAGGCGGCTTGTACATCTTCATCTATCGCCAGCTGTTGTCTAGGTTCTACCTGGAACGTTTGTCCAACGGCATGGGCCAAATTCCGATCTTGGACTTTGAAACTCCCATGGAAACTCCTTATTATCCGTCGTTGATGTACCCCAATGGCCTTCCGTTCCCCGAGAGGCCCAAATTCGCGAAGCTTTCCGATTATTTCTACACTTACGGTGAGAAGATCAACACCCGCTACGGCTACAGTTACTCGTACATCAAAGACTACACCCACCGCATCGCGGACCTCATCGACAGGGGATACGTGTTCGACGTGAGTAAAGGACGACTCCCTCGAAGCATTTGGTTGAACGTTGACGCTGTCGTTACAGAAAACCGGCAAAAAGATCGACCTGTACACCGGTGAAGGGCTCAACATACTCGGCAACCTGATGCAAGCCAATCCAGACTCGCCCAACAACAGGTACTATGGAGATTTCATCGGTTACGCGCGCCACCTCCTCGGGTACTCTTACACCCCGTTGACCATGAACAAGGTTGCCCCATCTGCGTTGGAGCATAAGGAGACTAGTCTCAGGGACCCGGCGTTCTACCAACTGTACAAATACGTCTTCCGCTACATCCAAAGGTACCGCCGGTAAGGTTCGACCCGTCTGAGTCGTTGTAAATGGTTCGTTCGCAGGTACCAGTCGTACTTGAAGCCGTACACGAAAGAAGAACTGATGTTCCCCGGTGTGATGATCGAGAAAGTCGAAATGGACCGTCTGATCACCTACTTCGAGGAGTTCTACACGGACTTGTCCCAAGCGATGTACTACTCGGAAGACGAGCTCAAGCAGCACCGCGACCTCAAGGTGCGGGCGAAGCAGTACCGTCTCGACCACAAACCTTTTACCTACAAAATCTACGTCAAATCGGACAAAGACACCAAAACCATGGTGAAGGTGTTCTTGGGACCCAAGTATGACGAGCACGGACGTTACATCAACATGTCGGAGAATCGGTGGAACTTCTTCGAGCTGGACAAGTTCACATACGACTTGAAGAGCGGCGACAACATCATTAAACGCAGCTCGTTGGAATCGATGATGTTTAGCGAGGACAAGCCAGGTTTCCTGGAGCTCTACAAAAAAGTGAAGGCGGCCATGAACGACGAGGGCGAGTACACCGTCGACTTGAAGCAGAACTACATCAACTTCCCGAGGAGGTATATGCTGCCCAAGGGTACCATCGGAGGGTTCCCGTACCAGTTTTATTTCATCATATATCCGTTCGACAAGCCGTACAAGGGTAATATGCCCGATGAGTGGAAGTACGGGTACCCGATGCCCGGCATGGGCGGACCCTATATGGACATGTACCCTCTGAGCTATCCATTCGACAGGCCCATTAAGTACGGCAAGATGTTCTACAACGACATCCCTAACACGTTCTTCTACGAGACGAGGATCTACCACAAGACTGACATCAACACGGTGACCGGTTGAACGGCCTGTGCAGTTTTCTATTTTGACCGGTGTACCTAATTTTTGTTTTCGAGTTAATAAATATTTTTTTGTTCGAGATGTCTCGTTTTTCGTTTTCGTTTCGACCGATCGATTCTCGGTTAAATCTGGTTTTGACGTTTTACCACTTGTCGGAAAATCCCTCAACTAGGCTCAAAGAACACGAAAGACAAATAAACTCACTTAACAGCTGCTGCCGAACACACTCATGAAACCGCACATAAAATTTTATTCGATAAAACTAAAACTAAAAAAAAACAACGAAAAATCCGAGAATCTATAGAAAGTTTTAACTAACCTAACAATCTTAACCGCGACTCAGGTCTCTACCTGTCACCAATTGGGAATCAGTCATCCGAGACGGTGTTTATGCCCCTCATTCAGCTTTAGTAAAATACGAGCCAGTTTCAGACAAGTTCTGAAGAAGCCAACTTGATGATTAGCGAAACGTAAGCAAGTTCGACTCATCAAAAACAGACGCAGGAGGAATCCAGAAGTTTTGTAAGAAGCATTACAGCAGCCTGTGGAAGTTTCTTTGAAAAATTAAAATGTTTCCAATATTCTTCGCCCAGCAATTCTTGAAACATGTACATAAAAAAATTAGTTCACAGTAACAATTTATTACGTTCTATGTCACTTGTTTTTATTGGCGCTGCTATTTCGCCTTCTGAATTTCTTATAAAATTGTAAACAATCAAAACAATTTGTTTAGCATCCGAAGACAAATGGATCCGTTTTTATTTGCTGAGGTAGTTCGTATTCTAAACTGTCGTTAGGTTCGACTACCATCTTCACTTCGTCTTCTAATTCTGCGTTGTTTTCTATGTCTTCTTCTAATAGGGGAACATCTGCTTCATTCCACAGTCTCCACATTTTAAAGTGTTAAAAAACAAGAACCTTTAAAAAATGTTTAATTGTAAGATTAAAATAAATATTTATCTATTTTCTGATGACGTACCTTTATCGACCGCGAATATCGTATTAAAAAAGACTGTTCTTGTTTACAAATCGAAGAACTATGTAGAAGACACCAAAATACAAGAAGAAGAATCTTGTTAATCGACCGGCACACAAGACAAACAAAAACAAAAGAGTGCAGGTACTTACCCTTACCCTTTGAACTATTCAGTGAAAACAACCTCGCATAAATACGTACTTACTGCAATACCTCCGTAATATACACGAACCCGTAAGAACGATACATATCACCTGCTGTTAAAATAAAGGCTTCACTTATTCGAAAATGCCCCGCAGCATCAATGCTTAATTAAATCTAAAACAAATCAATAAATGCACTATACTTTTGGTCGTACAATAACAATAAAATTATAAGCTTCTCTGTAATAATAATAACAATATTGTTTCTATTTTAATATATTTTACTCTTTTTTATAAGAATTGTTGCAATTTTGAATTATCACACGAAAACTATAAGCTTTTCTGCCATATTCCGTCTATAACTGTATATATTGAGGTGTTCTTTTTTTAAATTACAAAATAACATTCTATTACTATTTATAAATAATTATTGAAATTATAATATCGTGAAAGATTTTTAGATGGTAGAAGATGCAAAAAAGCAAATTTATTTTATTTAATATTATTGTATTGTAGTGTTGTACTATTATTAACGGTTTATGGAATTTATTTTTTTGTTTGCCTTTCTATGCATAGAGGGCTCATTTTTGCGTCATTTTATTATCTTTTCATAAGAGTTTGATTAATGGAAAATTTTTAAATATAAAAGTTACTAAAAGTGATTAGATAATCATATATAAGTCTTTCATCGAGTTGATTTTTTGTTTGCCTTTGTATGCATACAGAGTAGCTCATTTTTACGTCATTTTATTATATCTCCATAAGAGTTTCATTAATGAACAAAATTTAAATGTATTTTTTACTAAAAGTGCTGCAGAAATTAATTTTTCATTATTCGGAATAGGTTTATTTCATTTTCGAATTTCTGAGGTTTAGATTTTTGAGTATTTTAAAAATTTGGAAAGATTGTTTTGAACACTTCGCCTTTAAGCTATTTTTGACTATAAATAATCGAAATTGATACTGGGAATTAGCTTACAAAATTCAACGCGGCAAGATGTTTTTTCAAATAAGTTCCATAATAGCGAGGCATGGCAGTGCTTGACTATGTTTTAGTTTATTTTTTATTTTTATATAGAATACATGACGATGACATATTACGTAATATTACTAATTTTTGGTGCTTTTAATGAGTGCTTCAGATTTTGATTTTTATTTAAGGAAAAGCAACAATTCCAAACAATAGTAATCATTTTAATTTTTTAATATTTTGTCTTTGAGGTTGAGGTATTCAACTCAATCAATTTTCATTACAAAAAATATTAATAGTTTTTAGAAATTTCGGGCAGTTAACAATTTTTCAAATTTTTGAAAAACTTTAATTAATTTAAAACTATCACAGGACTTATTCCTAATTTGTGAAAGTTATACAAAGTGAAAAATACAGCTTTTTTATTGATAAATTTAAAGTTTTAGAAGCCGTGTTGAAACTCATCTTATTTTATCAGTAGTCCGATTATAACAAACCGAATTTGTTATTACAGCTTGCTCAAAAACATCAGTTTTATTGACGAAAATAAAAACAAGTTTACAGGACCTATCGTGGTACGGTTGCACCGGAATGAGTCATTTCGAATTATATACCGCCGCGTCTGGCATACGGTTTAAAATGTTCCACGATTTTTATCCCGACATTTCGTGCACCAAAAATAACCCCACCTTCTGATAATTGTTTTAATTAAACTTTGGATCGCGAAACAGTGAACTTTCCGTTATATTAACGGTAATTCCTCTAGTGAATTTATGCAAATAATGAAGAAATCGAAATGTTTTAACATATAACAAGAATTTAACAAAAAGCAATGCAATTGATTAAGTATAGGATGTTCTAACGATGGATTTAATATTTGTTAAATTTGACAAATCTCTTTGTACCCGGCGAATTCACCAAATATTATCGATATTGCGCGCATATTACATATTCTAAAGAGACGGGAAGAACACGAATTTATATAAAAATTCAAAAGTTCAACTTATGCCGATTGTTTTTTTAGTTTATTTCGGGCTGTATTTCAATGCGGGTTTAATGAGCCAGATTTGTTACGTCTTGTGGTGCCCCATTGCGATTTTAGGTTCTATAGCTCGGGAACTGCTTCAAGCCGTTCGATTATCGTCTAACAATATTTGCCTTGTAATCTCACACATGGCGATTAAATTGTTTTCTTTGGCGGCTACGGAACAGGACTTATCATCGGGTCACTCAATGACACTTTATTAGAATTTGGTATAAAAAGAAGACCGGTCCGCTGCCGAAAACCAGACTCGAAGTCCCGATCTACCGCCGGCATGAAGCTCGCTTTGGTCTTCGCCCTAGTGGGGTTGTGCGCCCTAGCCGTCGCCGTACCTACCACCACCACCACCACAACTCACAGTTTCAAATCGAAAATTGGTAAGTTCAAATCAATCCACGTGAACGTGCGTATTAAAAATAACATCTGCAGTGGACAAGGCCTTCCTTGAAAAGCAACAAAAGGTCCTCACCCTCTTCTACCACATCCAGCAGCCCAGTTACTACGAGGAGCACCTGCAGATCGTTCAAGCCGTACCGACTTTCCACCAATGGCTCCATGATAACAAAGCACTGTTCACCGTGAGTATCGATCAAATCAGCGCGGGTCACCACCCTAGCTAACTTCAATTTCAGAAACCCGAAGTGGTAGAACACGCGATTGAGTTCTTCCACCACAACTACTGGCTACACAAGGGCGAGATCTTCTCCGTGGCCCAGCACGAGCACAAGGAGCAGGCCGTGGCTCTCTTCAAGCTCTTCTATTACGCCAAGGACTTCGACACCTTCTACAAGACAGCGGTATATGCCCGTCATCACTTGAACGAGGGTCTCTTCCTTTATTCGGTATCGGTGGCCGTGGTTCACCGTCAAGACACCTACGGGATCATCCTGCCTCCGATCTACGAAATCTACCCGTGGTACTTCTTCAACAGCGACGTCATCCACCAAGCCTACAAGCAGAAACAGATCTACGAAGGTGAAGAACACAAGTCGGAGCACAAACACCACCATATCTTCGCCAATTACTCCGGTCACTACTTGAACCTGCACCCGGAACAATCCCTCTCGTATTACCTCGAGGACATCGGTATCAACGCGCAGTACTACTACTTCCAGATATTCTATCCCTTCTGGATGGACGGGGAGGAGTTCGGCATCAAGCACGACTACAGGGGCGAGTTGTTCTTCTTCGTCTACCAGAACCTCATTGCCAGGTACTACTTGGAACGGCTGTCACACCGCCAAGGTCAGATTCCGATCTTAGATTGGGAAGTACCAATCACCGTTCCCTATTACTCGTCGCTGCAGTACCCCAACGGGTTGCCATTCCCCGAGAGGCCGGCATTTGCTAACTTGCATACCGCGTACTTCACTTACGGTCAGCACATCAACAGCCCGTACGGTTTCAGTTACAATTTCGTTCACGACTACGAGAGACGCATCAGCGACGCTATCGACCGCGGCTACGTTTACACCGTAAGTAATTGGTGGAGGAAATCTGGTACTTTTGACAATGGCACCGTCCTTAATTTCGCAGAACGACGGACAAAAGGTGGACCTCTACAGCGAGCATGGTCTCGACGTATTAGCGAACTTGATAAACTCCAACCCCGATTCGCCTAACTCCAGGTACTACGGCGGTTTCTTGAACTTCGCGCGTCATCTGCTAGGATACTCGTACACCCCGGTGTCTTACCACAAGTTGGCACCGTCTGTACTCGAGCACCCGGAAACATCACTGCGCGATCCCGCCTTCTATATGCTCTACAAGAAAGTATTTAACTACTTGTACAAGTACCAAGCGTACCTGCACCCGTACAACAAAACCGACTTGGTCTTCCCTGGCGTGGAAATCGAAAAGGTAGAAGTGGACCGTCTGATCACCTACTTCGACGATCACATTTCCGACTTGAGCAACGCCGTTTGGGACTCGGTGAACGAGCTCAAAGAGGATAATTTCCACATCTACGCTGTCCAACAGCGTCTGAATCACAAGCCATTCACGTACAAGATTTACGTGAAGTCGGACAAGAGTATCGACGCTACGGTGAAGGTGTTCTTGGGACCCAAGTACGACGAGTACGGGCGTTACATCAACATCACCGAGAACAGGTGGAACTTTGTGGTGATCGACGCTTTCAAGTGGCAACTCCAGGCGGGCGAGAACGTCATCAAGAGATCGTCCCAGGAAAGCGAGTTCTACGGACCGGACAGAACCAGCTACCACGATTTGTACAAAAAGGTACTGAGCGCTCACAAGGGACAAGAAGAGTTCCACATTACCGGAGCCGAGAACTACTTCAGTTTCCCTCACAGGTGAGGTTCGCAAGTAAAATTTACGTCTTCGGTGCTAACTTACGTCTGTGTAGGTATATGCTTCCAAAAGGCAGTGCCGGCGGCGTTCCGTTCCAGTTCTATTTCATAGTGTACCCTCACAAGCAGTATCACCAGCACAAGGAGCACGAGTTCTTCTACCCGCGACCTGGAACTGGTGCCGGATACGTAGATGATTATCCATTGTATTATCCGTTCGACAGGCCGATCAAATTTGGTCACCTGTTTGTCGACGAAGTGCCCAACTCCCACTTCCACGAGGTCAAGGTCTATCACAAGGAAGTGCCGGAATCTGGAATCCAACACGTCCAGAATCAGCATTAGGGCCTAACCTGAAGACTGCTATAGAATTATTTGCAAAGCGTTTAAAGCGTGATTAAAATTAATATTTGAAGTTTGTGTTTTAATTGTCAATGGCGGTACTTAAGTATGATCTTATATAGTCGGTACTATTTGTAATGGCATAGTCGGTCACAAAACTATATACTCATATACTAAGAATGGCAAAAGCCATCTATTTACCTGCCAGTGTCTCGAAAAGTCGTTTTTCTTCTAGGCTTAGTGAAAGTGTACCAAATTTATCAATTGGCTGCGCAGTAAGTGAGTAAATAAGTAAGTGGAGTTGCCGGAAATTTTGAAAAATTACGAAACAAACTTCCCGTATGCTACGGACGAAATAATGCCCGAAATTGGTTATCAAGTTTTAAGATTGCCTCCTTACCATTGTATATTTAATGTCATAGAACTGGGGTAGGCTCAGTGTAAAATATTTTTTAATAAAAATATTGTAAGCAAGGTACGATGATGCTGCAGTAGAATCAAAATAAATAAGAACTAAAAGTTCAGATTTCCACGAAATTATATACTTTGACATTACAATTGTTTCGACAACACCGTGTCTTTATCAAATGTAGCGTTTACACGCTACCTGCTGCTATATATACCAAAAAATGACCCTAAAACTTTAATTTATGTTGTTGTGAGAATTTATGTTCAATAAAAGAGAGGTATTTAAATCTTAATCATTAAGCAATATAATTCAATGTCTCATTTTGTTAATCTCCATGGCTTCCAATAAATTTAATTTTCTACTTTTTGTGGCGGTATGTAAAACATCAAAATTGTAGTCAAAAATGTGTTTTTCTGAGTTTAAGTGTGTAGCATAATTAGAATCTAGACTATTGTTTTTAAACGCTCTTTTATGTTCGTTAATGCGTTTCAGGTGTCTACAGGTTGAAATGCGGATCTTGTCCAAAATTTATATTGGACAAACAGGTAGATCCTTCAAGAAGTATATGTAGTAGCAGGTAGTTTGTAAATATTAAATAATAATATTAATAAATAAAATTTACATCTGACACGGTGTTGTCGAAACAATTGTCATATAACTTCGTGAAAATCTGATCTCTTAGTTCTTATTTATTTTGATAAATGGATTTTCATCAAGTGAAAACCTCAGTTCAATTGCAGTAGAATATGTTTGGAAGACAGCTCTTGAGTCAGTTACCAAATATCATCAGTTGCATAATACATACAGAAAATATAACAAAAGAACACCTGTTGCTATTATAAATGAAGGATCATTTTCTGGTAAGTAGCAGTTCCAATTTTGGCTCTGACGATGAAGATGTTTCATCTTAATACAAACTATAATATGGTTTACATGTATATCTTACTCTTGGCAAGTTATATTTTATACGGTATGTTATATATTTCTTAAAATTCCAAAAATGTTCTTATTGTTTTCAATTTCATTGCATGGATAATAGTTTATTTAACAAATTATCATAATTTTGCATGAATGCATGAATCCATTTATGAGTATGGGCGTATTAGTTAAATTCTGTCTCTCTTACTGCCAAGTAATCGTGATCGTCAGTGACGGTTGTCTCGCATTGATCACATAGACGTTTAGAACGCAACATCTGTAGAAATATAAGTGGAAGCAAGATGAAGGAACTATTTTATTCTGTCTAAGGAGGGGAAACTTTTACTAAAAGAGTATTTTTAAAATGTTAATTCTCAGCAAATGGCAAATGTAACTTTTAGGACTATGCAGTAGTTGGAAATTATAATGAAGGTAAAATAAAAGTGGGCAGAGTAGGCAAAGTCGGCGTTTGTTGTTATCTTGTGAGGCAGGTAAGACCGTTATGGCGGATGACAGAAAGTTTTCTAGGGAATAAAAGTTACTCCTTCGCCTATTAAAAATTACAGCAAAAAAGAAAAATTATTCCCAATCTTCCGCTTGTTTCGTTGGAGGTTGGTCGAGGGACAGTTTAATTTTTCTTCACTTACTTTCTTCCTCTGTCACTTGTCGCCTTTCGAGCAGGAAGAAAGAAGAAAATGGCTGAACCACAAAGTAAGCAAAGAAAAATGCTATGATTAGAAGAAAAGAAATGCGTTCTACAGAATTGTCGCAAAGGCAAAAATGTTTTACCCACTTTTGGTGCTATCGAATTCGAAAAACTTATTATGTTGAGGAAACACATTTTCCCTATTTGTTTGGAGTTTTAAATTATACTTATAGTCGTCAAAATAAGCCCATGAGATATATTGTTTTTGTTAAAAAACACCATAAATTTATACGTGCATTATGTTAAGAAAAATTTGGATACATACTTGCTTTTTGTTTCGGGTAGCAACACTGCGAAACTGGTCCGAAACACCCGTTGCTGCTTTTATAGTTGCCATGGGAAAGGCGAAAACAATTCGTTACGGTAATTGATTATTAATTTTATTTAACTGATAAGCCAAGTTTACTCTGCTCGATGTAACAAACCATTCGAATCGATAATTTCAATTGGACAATTCCAATTGGAGCTGGTGTAACGCCACTGGTATCGAAGATTAATGCAACTTTCAGTTCAAGTAATTACGCACTGTGTAAGTTAAAAATAAAGACAATGGAAGTTCGACATCCTTTTAGTATTTCTAAGCAACTTATAGTTGTGTGGGGTGGTATGTATAAGGTGGGCCGTTTATCTTGGAACTGTAGGGGACGGAGCCAAAAGTTAAATACAAAAGTTAATTGGGATGTTACAAACCTTTAACATATATTAATGTTGTGTATACAGGGTGTTTAATTTTTCATGGGCAAATATCAACTTTTTTATTTTAAATGGGATACCTAGTATATTACTCCATTTTTCAATACCCCACAAAATTCAAGACATATTTTTTGTCTAAGTCTAACGTTTATGAAGTTTTTAATTTTTTTATGCGAAAAATGACATTTGTAAGACGTAAAATATCTGCCTTTTTTTTAATGACAACTGCCTATTTTTATAATCTTGTCATATTTAGCATTAAAAATTAAGGCAATTTTATATATGTCGAAAATTTTTACTTTTGAGTTCTAAGATCACGTCAAGTGGACCCCTCATTTACCACTTGATCATAAAAATTTAATTTATATATATTTCTATTTAATTTTTTTATTTTTAATGATGGAAAATTGATTCCCCCAAACGATTTTTTAAAATTTTGTTTTTAACAAAAATTTTTTTTATAATGAAAATTTTAAGCACTTATAATTAAAAAATGGATTAAATATCAACCGCAGTCAAATGTCTATTTTATATTATATTAACGACTTCAAATTATTTGTTTATTTTTGTATTATTAACTAACATTTAAGATAACAAATAAAAATTAAACTGATTTCTTAGTAAAAAAAATCATGTTTTTTTATCGCTCACATGCTTTATGCATTTAAGTTTAAGATTCCGGAAGAAAATTTCACTGCTCGTCATTAGTTTAAACAAAATTAATTTATTTATGACAGGGCGCCGGACGCTGAGCGCTGTGGAAGCGCCGCGCTGCCGAGCGTCTCGAACTGCATTGACGTTTTATCAGTGATAATTAAAAATAATAATACAACATATTATTATAAAACAAATTTTATTATTATTTATGTTATTTTATTATAAATGATATTAATAAAATTATATATTTTTTTCACAATGTGTATTCTTTATAACATTTTTTTTATTTTTACCAAATTTTTAAAACTGTTATGGTCTATATTTATATTTTCTAGGTAATTTAGTAAATTATTATTTTTAAATTTACTTGTCAACACTCCATCTTTAGTTAACAAAGGAAAAACCGCTCCATTACGATTTTCATTTGTTTTTGGCGTATCCTAGTAAATAACAAAATCATTTCAGAAGTCATTCCTGTCTATTTGTGACATAAGTTTATACGCAAAGTATGAAACAATTATTATAAATAAAAGCTGAAGTGTTGTTGAGTTGTGTTTTTTTAGTTAATATTTTAGTATTATAATTTTTAATTGTAATAATAATATTTTCTGTGATTTAAAATGGGCCGAGTGAATTATGAAATTATGTGAATAAAAAATTAGTTTTAATTTTTATTATGATTGGACTTTTTCGCTACATCTCATGGCAAAGGAGCGTCCGATGGCTTAGCCGGGAGTGTAAAGAGAGAAGTTTATCGTGCTAGTCCCCAACGTGATAAAAACAACCATATAACAACCCCACTTTCCTTTTTCAGTGGGCCTAAACTTCTTTTAAAAAAAAATACCAACCACGATTCGAACGCTTAACTACAATAAAAATACTCGCCAATTTCATTATTACAAACCATTGGAAATTTTTTACTAGAATGCAGGCTCGTTTTAGAGGATGAAAAAGTATTTATTTAAAAAAAAAATAACTGACCACAAATTTACAATTAAATTATTTAAGCTTGTTTGTTCTATTCTGTATGTTATGATTGTTAATATTGTTATAATATTATTTTAAATCATCACTGATAAAACCTTCAATGAAGTTCGAGACGCTCGGCAGCGCGGCGCTTCCGCAGCGCTCGGCGCCCGGCGCGCTGTCATAAATAAATTCATTTTGTTTAAACTAATAACGAGCAGTGAAATTTTCTTCCGAAATCTTACACTTAAGTGCTTAAAATTTTCATTATAAAAAAAAACTTGTTAAAATCAAAATTTTAAAAAATCACTTGAGGGATCAATTTTCCATCATAGGTACTTATAAAAAATATATATATAGATTAATTTTTTATGATCAAGTGATAAATGGGGGGCCCACTTTACGTGATCTTACTCTTTTTGAAATATTTTCTTGTAAACATTCGTCTATCACAAATAATATGCTGTTGCCATATAAGTTCAGTTTGTGTAAGGTGGCTATGAGGGCGTTTGAACAAAACAACTCAAGCGAAATAATCAATGCTTTCGAATGAGGAAATGGGCAGATATTTTACGCCTGGCAAACGTCATTTTTCGAATAAAAATTTAAAAATGTTACAAAAAGGTTAGACTTAGGTATATATGTCTAGAATTTTGTGTAGAATTCAAAAATGAAGTAATATACTAGGTTTTCTATTTAAAATAAGAAAAATAATATTTTCCCACGAAGAATTAAACACCCTGTATATAGAACATTAAACCAAATTGAAGGTTTGTAATACCCCAATTAACTTTTGTATTTAACTTTTGGCTCGATCCCCTACAGTTTCTGAGATAATGTAGTTTCCCAAGATAAACTGCCCTACACATTAACAGGTTTGAACCTGTGAGTGACGTTCAAAATTATGTTTTAAAGATTGTATTTTAAGAAGAATCTGCCCCTTTTTACAAAAAAATAAGAACTTCAAAATAAATCTCGAGCGACATCCCAAACTGTATGCATTACAGCATACGGGATGCCCTTGAAATGCATTAACTCAGAGAACAATATATAGGTATAAAAAATGTCGACAATCAAAATTACATATGAAATTTTAACTGAAATACCAGGAAAATTTCGGAAGGAGTTGTTCACGCTGTATTTTTAGCAAAAGTTCGCACATCACTGTACACCTCTCATCCGAGATACGGGTGATGTGGATTTACAAAACATTTATAACTTATTTATGGAGAAGTTAAATAATTTTAATATTCCATATGCACAGACCTAGAAATAAAAGTAAATAATCATCACAACTACCGAAAAAACTAAATTTTTAGGTTTTATCTTCGACCGTAACCTTAACTTCAAATATCACCGCCATCATCTGGTCTCAAAACTACAAAACCATTAATCCAGATTTAATACTTTAATGTAGAATCTGGAATACGATATGGAGTGTGTTTTTGGGGTTGGTCAACTCACTTGCTGACTCGCTCATAACATCCTCAAGAGACATCTGCAAACCTTATATAAAAAGAAAAATTTTGAGAAACTCAAATTTACATAAATTTAACAAATATCACTAAATCGAACATTTTATATAAATCGACAAGAAATATGCTACCAGTAATTGTTAACAAGCTACTTGCAGAAAAAAAAAAGTGAATTAGAAAGTATTTTTGTACCTTTTTGTGACAATTCCTACACAAACTGCAAATTTGTCTTATCGAAATAAACTCAACCGAACTGAACTGATCAAAATAGGACTTTCTTGTTTCCTTCTAGAGAAAGAACCGTAATCGTGGATTTGCTATAAAATTGTCTGCCAATCAGCACAAGAAATCTATACTATAAAAGATTTGTCAAAAAGTGCATATTCAGAGAAGTGTTGACGATTTAATATAAATATCTCTAGTCTACCTTTTCATTGCTTCTCTATTTTATTGTTGTCTCTTCATAATACTTGAGTTAATTTAAGAGGCATACATATGGTTCTTCCTTGTCAAAGATCAACTAATTAATAACTAATTAATGAAAGAAGTGTTTTAATTGTGGACACCCTGTATCTGGCTTTGGGATTGGCATTCGACGGCACTGGCGTCAGAAGGGCAAATTCATAATTCAAAATACACCCCCGTACGGTTTAAAAAAAAAGCGAAAATAAAAAGACTCTCGCACCAATGCACCGCTCATAAATCATCTAAAAATAATAACTAATATTGCAACCATAATTACGGGGCAGATAATCATTCTCGTCGAATTTATTTTTAGGTGTTTGCGACCGGCAGACCGTGTCCCCTGTTTTCGATGCAATTTATCGGGGGGGTCAACCGATAGCTACCCGATTGGAAACCGTATAAATTCGAACGGATTTTATAATAAAATTAAAAATCGAAATTGTTCGCGATGATGGTGGCTTGGGTTCTATTTGGCCTTTGCGCCATAGCCGCTCCCAGCTTCCAGCAGGGTCAATACAAAGTTGGTAAGCGTTGTTGCCTCGTTTTTGTTGTAAGAGTGCAAAAGATTATTTTTTGGCATCGTTAATTTCATTTTTTCCGCCCCCAGTTTCTATGTGTTTGAAATATTTTTAAATAGCAACAAATTTTGAGGACAGGGAGCAGTTTCTTCAAATAAAATTTGACAATTATTTTAAAATAGTGGAATGTTGGATAAAAAAAATTAACAACTTAAAATTTTGTTTTATTATTAAATAGCAGAACCAGTTCTAAACATGTTTTTCTGGAGACAAAATATGTAAGGGAAATAAATAATAAATAAAACATGCGTTTTTATTGAATTAAATTATACAACCAGTTATACTTCGAATATAAAGTTTATGTGGAATTGAAAAATGTATAAAGACATATTGCCAATCAATCAATAAATTTGAACAAAAAACTAAATTTCTATATCGATTTTTTAGTTTCCTTGAACATAGTTTTAAAATACTACAACGTTGGATACAAAAGTTAATTAAATATTAAAATTAAGATAATTCAATATTCAATACATTTATTGTAACTAACCTAAAATTATGTCTTATTATTATCTAGCAGAACCAGTTTTTGTAGATACCCAATTTATAATGGAAATAAGTAAAGGTTTTTATTGAATTAAATTATACAACCAGCTAAGCTTCGAATATAAAGTTTGTATGGAATTCTTGGAAAGTTACAAAAACATATTGCCAATTAATAAATAAATGTATCGATTTTTTAGTTTTTTCGAATAAAATTTGAAGATACAATGTTGGATAAAAAAGTTAACAAAGTACTAAAATTAACATAATTCAATATTCAATATATCTATTGCAACTAAATTAAAATTATGTGTTATTATTATCTAGCAGAACTAGTTCCAAACATATATGTATATGTGATGACACTATATTCCGGGATATCATCCGTTCGCTTGTTGAACTCCGACTGGAATCCTGCAGACGTTTCGCCAAAATCTCACTTGGCTTCTTCAATGCTCGCGCTCCGAAAATACTTCGAACACTGCTTCGAGGCTGCAGGATTCCAGTCGCAGTTCAACAAGCGAACGGATGATATCCCGGAATATAGTGTCATCATATATATATATATATATATATATATATATATATATATATATATATATATATATATATATATATATATATATATATATATATATATATATATATATTCTCACGTATTGATTCACAGATGGAAAAATGTGATGACACTATACTCCGGGATATCATCCGTTCGCTCATTGAACTCCGACTGGAATCCTGCATCCGAATGGAATCCTGCAAATCCTGCATCCGACTGGAATCCTGCAGACGTTTCGCCAAAATCTCACTTGGCATCTTCAATGCTTCGAAGTGTTTTCGGAGCGCGAGCATTGAAGATGCCAAGTGAGATTTTGGCGAAACGTCTGCAGGATTCCAGTCGGATGCAGGATTTGCAGGATTCCATTCGGATGCAGGATTCCAGTCGGAGTTAAACGAGCGAACGGATGATATCCCGGAGTATAGTGTCATCATATATATATATATATATATATATATATATATATATATATATATATATATATATATATATATATATATATATATATATATATATATATATAGATATATATATATATATATATATATATATAGATATATATATATATATATATATATATATATATATATATATATATATATATATATATATATATATATATATATATATATATATATATATATATATATATATATATATATATATATATATATATATATATATATATATATATATATATATATATATATATATATATATATATATATATATATATATACCTAAACCTAAATTGAAATTTAAAAGGAATTAATTAAAAAAAAATCATCCCCTTTAGTGTAAATAGAAAATTAAAAAATAACGTTAGTTTGGTTAACGAACACGGATCGGAAAATTCCTCAAATATTTGTTTTTGAAACAATCATTATTTATTGTGATGGTTCCTTCTCACGCATAAAATCTTCAAATAAACCTACAACCAGTATTTTTTTTTCTAAACTCATTTTTAATGACTAATTGCTTAAAAATTATAATTTTTGTCAAAAATCAAAAGTGTCTACATAAAAACTAGCAGCTCTGGCAGCTGGTATGATCCAATTGAGCCGTAACTTTTCTGACACACATTTAACTAACTTTTTAATATTTTTATACCCTCGCTATCCGCGATCACTATCTTCGAAATTTCATGCCCGCTGTTTTAAATCTATGAAGTCGACCATACATTCCTGGATAAGCAGCAGAAAGTACTAACGCTGTTCAAGCATATCCACCAACCCAGCTACTACCAGGAGCACGTTCAAATCAACCACACCGTAACCACTCCCGTTCAATGGCTCCACGACAACAAGGCCTCCTTCACGGTAACCACTTCTCCTCCGCAATCTATGTCGTAACCTTAGCGGCTCGTTTTCAGAAACCCGAAGTGGTGGACCACGCGATCAAGTTCCTACGACCATTGGCTCCACGTAGACGAGATCTTCTCGGTCGCGCACCACCATCACGTCCACCAAGCGGTGGTTCTTTTCAAACTCTTCTACTACGCCAAAGACTTCGACACCTTCTACAAAACCGCTGTCGTGATGCGGGAGCACATGAACGAAGGCTTGTTCCTCTACACAGTTTCGGTCGCGATCGTGCATCGTCCCGACACTTACGGCGTCATATTGCCGCCCATCTACGAAATCTATCCTTGGTACTTCTACAACTCGGACGTGGTCCACCAGGCTTACAAGTTCAAGCAGATGCACGAGGGTGAGAATCAGAGCACCGATCAGAAACACCACGTAGTCGCCAATTACTCCGGCCATTACCTGAACTTGCACCCGGAGCAGTCGCTGTCGTACTACTTGGAAGACGTCGGCATCAACGCTTACCATTATTATTACCACCTGCATTATCCGTCGTGGATGGACGGCGAGGAGTTCGGGATCAAGCACGATCATAGAGGCGTAATGTTTTTGACCGTCTACAGGGCTCTCGTCGCTCGGTACTACTTGGAGAAGTTATCCCACAAGCAAGGTCAGGTTCCGACGTTTGACTGGGACGTTCCCATCGAAACTCCTTACTATCCCTCGCTCCAATATCCCAACGGTCTCCCGTTTCCTGAGAGGCCAAAGTTCGCCAACCTCCACGACGTCTACCGTACTTACGGAGAGCACATCAACGACGTCTACGCTTTTAGCCACGCTATGGTTAAGGAATCAGAGGGCCGCATCCACGAAGCGATCGACAGCGGCTTTGTCATAAACGTAAGAAAGGTTTTCTAGGTACCGCGCTTTGAGGTAACTCGGACAACTTTCAGAACAAAGGCAAAAAGGTGGAACTGTACACCCAGGAAGGCATGGACCATTTGGGCAATATGATCACGTCTACACCCGATTTTGCTCACAAGAAATACTACGGCGACTGGGTGAACAGCGCGAGTCACGTACTAGGGTACTCTCACAGTCCATTGTCGTACCATAACGTGGCACCGTCCGTGTTGGAGCACCCGGAGACCATGCTACGCGACCCCGCGTTCTACCAGATGGCCAAGAAGGTTATGTACTTCGTGTACAAGTACCATACTACTCTGCACCCGTACGAGAAGACCGAGCTCGTCTGGCCCGGAGTGGTGATTGAGAAAGTGGAAATGGACCGGCTCATTACCTATTTCGACGAGTTTTACGCCGACATGAGCAACGTCGTGTGGGACTCTGTCAACGAGCTCAAGGAGGACACGTTCCACGTCCACGTGGTGCAACAGCGTCTCAATCATAAGCCGTTCACATATAAAATCCACGTCAACTCAAACGTCGACGGTCAAGCAACGGTGAAGGTGTTCCTCGGACCCAAGTACGATGAGTACGGCCGCTACATGAACGTTACGGAAAATATGTGGAACTTCGTGCCACTCGACTCGTTCCAGTGGCATTTGAAGTCCGGAAACAATATCATCAAGCGATCGTCTCAGGAAAGCCAGTTCTACAGTCACGACAAGACCAGTTATCCCGACTTGTTCAAGAAGGTAGTCGCGGCGTATCAGGGACAACACGAGTTCCACGTGGACGGCAAAGAAAACTCGTTCTATTTCCCTCACAGGTATCAACTTTTACTCACTCGGGATGATATAGAAGCAACGGTTTGATTTTAGGTACATGCTGCCAATGGGCAGTCACGACGGCACTCCCTACCAATTCTACTTCTTCATCTATCCGTACAAGCCGTACCACGGACAGACGGAGGAAATGACTTACTTCTACCCGCGTCCGGGTACGGGAGGCGGCTTTACCGACGACTTCCCGGTGTTCTACCCGCTCGACCGTCCCATTCACTTCGAGAAGATGTTCGTGCACCAGGTGCCCAACTCTTATTTCTACGAGACGAAGGTGTACCATCGTAACGTCGTCGAAGCCAACGTGCCCCAACCCCAGCATCACCATTAGGTGTTCAAGAAAGAACCGCTGGTTGATATGTAGGTTCTAGTTAAGTTATACGGTAATAAATATTTAAAAGAAATAATCCTTGGTGTCTTTGTTTCCGTGTTTTTCCTAATGAAGGCATCTTTGTACGGTGCTTCTATAGAGAGAAGATAGATGAAGAATTCGATGTACTTAGGTTAGTGGATAGACGACTTGAGGTAGTGTCACTAGATTTTGGAAGGTTCTTACTTAGTTGCCGGTGGCCATATTTTAATAGTCCCATTTAGAACTTTTATTATCTAATATCTTACATTTACGAAATCTTATCTTAGTAATCGATATTAAGTTTTCAGTAGGTTTTTTATATTTGCACAAATTGTTCGGTTGGTGGTCCATATAAAACTGTGAAAGGGAAAGGGACAGGCGTCGTCTAAACTCGACAAATTCATCGAGTTAATTAAATTGATAGTATTATAGGAAAAAGTTGCTTTCTGAAGAACAAGGACTCTTAATGAAAATGTTAAATAGATAAGGAAGAAACTTTTTTTTTAAATGATGATGTAATAGAAAAATGCCATATGAAACTTAAGTCTGTAACTGTAAATAAACTAGTCAAATAAGAAGTGGTCAATTGACCGACGCTAACACTAGGCATGAGTTTTGAAGTTTTCGTAAGTAAGACAAGAGTCAAGAGTCAAAGTTTGCACAGCAGTTGATTAATTGAGATAAAAAAAGGAGTTACAGATAAGTTTTTGATTTAACAAACATGTTAAATATCATCAAGTGACCGATGACATTGACCGGTCAATTGACCAGTCCTAACACTAGGCATGAGTTTTGAAGCTTTTGTAACTAGGTCACGACAAGTGTCAAAGACTGCACGGCAGTGATTTAACTCTAAATAAAACAAAGGAGTTACAAATAAGTTTTTTGATTTCTCGTGATGATAGGTCATCAACTTTTATTATAAATTCTTTTATATTTCTTTTTCAAACTCAATATCATTTCCAAAAACTGCAAGAGACGACTTATTATTTATATTATCCTTACTTAGGATTTATTTTGAGTGATCATTGGTAGAACTATAAAAATTGATTGTATCAGAATTATTACTATCATCAGTCTGTTGATGGCTGCTGTTATCAGAAGACGTATATTTAACATGTTAAGTGACCTATGAAATTGAAGGGTAACGAAGGTCCCAGCATTATTAATTATTGGAGGGGAAATAATTTCCGCCTGTTTCCAGATGAGTAGGGAGTAAGAACGTAAGATGCATTCATTAATAATGTGTTATATAGGACAAGATTACAGTTAAAGATATTATCCTCAAGCTAGTAAAGCACTACTACTCTTACAGTTTCCTACCCGAGTCACTAGTGGATAAGATGGGTGTTCTCATTTCTTCCATAACTTCCTGCTAAAGTACTTCCGATGCCCAGGTTCTTAGTGATTTTTCTAGTATTTGTACAGATAAGATGGGTGTAACATGTTTGAATTCTAGAATAATCTATATAACTACTTCGTTTGTTGCAAAGTTACCTAACCGATAGATAGTGGTTGTAAACTGTGAGAAATCGATGTATGCGAATGTAACGTCTGGAGTACCTCAGGGGTCACACTTGGGACTCTTAATTAATATTGACTTAAAATTAGACAATGTAAAACTTAAGAGTTACTAAAGTTAAAGATTTATCTTTCTGAGTTAACATTTGAAGTTCATGTAGAAAATAGTGTAAAGAAGAGCTTGAGAAATCTTGGTTTTATAACACCAAAGTCTTTTGCAGCCACAAATCAGTCATTCTAATTTATAATAGAAATACTCAACCACCATATGGAATCCGATCTATCGCAAGTATCCGATAGAGCGAGTCCCACTACTACACTACTTTTCTTATGAAAATAACCCTCATTTTTATAAATTAAGGTCGCTTAAAACACGCAGAAATTGCTCAGGCTTAATTTTTCTTTATAAAATTGTCAACAATCTTCTTGTAGAAGTTTTTTAATGCCAGTGCGCACTAGGCTAACTTTTTCTATAGAAAGAATCACATCTAACTATCATCGTGTTTTTCTGAACAACGAAGAAGAAGACTTATTCAACTTAAGTCTACATCTGTTTAAAAGAAACGTGTACAAAATTCTGTAACATTCTTTCAATTACTGTCTATTAGCTTAGGAAATATCTAGTTAAGTTTCTTTTGTAATTGCCTGCCTGTTGGTTAGCCTCTGGGTTTATAAAATAAAATGAAATAAGATAAAATAACTAAGATTAAAGATTACGTTGCTGATTAGTGTTGCATTCCAATTGGCTACCGGGAATACCGGAACAAACTAGCTTATTTTGATTTCAGTTTACTTTTACACTTCATTATGTACCTAACTTTGTTGTTAATTTTTGTTTTATTTTGTTTAGATTTTTTTTTTACATTTCGTATTTCCGATATACACGGTGTGTCCATGCCGGATTGTCACGGCGTCGTCTTCGAGGAGGCCGGGCATCCAAGAAAAAAAAGGGCACGCCCCTAATCCCCCATGCGGATCGATGTCCTAAGGGTTGCCGAACCGACGGCGGTCGTCTGTGTGTCAGTCGCCGCTCGCAGTCGACGCCGCCGACGCTGTGCATCTCCGGCGGACATCCGCGTCGCGACGCCGGTCCGGCGCCGCCGTCGTCTTCACTAGGGTGCGAAATCCGCGGGACGCGTTTGCTCCGGGGGGACGAGTTAGTTTCGTTTTCCGAAAAACTTTTCGCGGGTGGTGCCGTGGTGGAAACTATAGGCTTCGGACACAGGTAAAAAATAGGGGGGCTGTCGGAAGTGTATTTATGGCGTAATAATGTAGTTTAAACAAAACCATTTTTGTTGTGTAAGAACGTGAAAACTAGAATTTTTTGGGAAACTAAAATTCAGTGCTAACTAATATAACGCAAAGTTTCTTGATTTTTTATTTTAATGGGTTATTGGTAGTTTTGCTTAGGTTAAGAAAAGTTTGTAATATTTTTTTTTGGACCAGGTATTATCAGATTTAACATCTGATTCGGAAAACTTGAAAAAAGGTTGGATTTAAGTTTTTATAAAATTTAGTGAAATAATTTTAAATGTTAGGGGAGGGTAAGGCAAGGCGGCCCACCTAAGCTTTTTGTTATTTTTGGCTTTTAACTGTCAAGTCGATTTATTTTTGACCAAATTTAACTAAATTTACCCCAAGTTTCTGGTCGTCTCCCTAATTATAATGTTACATATAATAATTACAATTATTTATTAAAAAGTATTTAATAAAAATACGTTCCGATTAAAAAAATTGTTGTTAGTATTTAGTTTTAGGCTAAATCCATAGAATTATCCAAAAAATAACACCTTCAATAAATTAATTATAATTCGGTTGTAACAATATGGAATAGCTTTTTTTTTAGAATTTTTCAGCGGTCCATTTTATACCTAGTATTATGCAAGGGGCTAAAAATGTACAAATAATAAGAATTTATAATTAAATAATTAAAAAATTTTGGTTAGTTAATTTCTGAGGTGGGCCGCTCCAGGGGGGCCGATTTGCCCCCCCCCCCCCCCCTACTAGCAAAAACATTTAATTAGAATTTTGCATTTCACAGATCTTTTGCAATAATTTGTCCAAGTCAGAATAAAAGTTTTCTTTTGTAAAATCTTTCGCTATACAGGGCGTCTGTTCTAGAAATTTAAGAGGTGAATAAGAATATTTTTCATATGTACGGAATGCATACTTTCCAAGATGCAAATCTTGCTTCGTTATAGAGAAAAGAAATATAAAATACTTAATTGCATGTTCCTAGACTTAAAATATTTAATCAAGATGGGGACAGATTAGGATTTGTTCCAAATACAATTAATTTTTTTTTAAACCTAAATCTAAACCAACGAAAAAAAAAAACGATTTTTTAATAAATATCTTAAATATCTCTTGACCCATTTTATTGAAATTGAAATGTTTGGTGCTATAATAGGTATAATGAAATTAAAATTATGAAGTGCAGTGGCGTCCCGGGAGACACCCTATTGAATATTTTTGACAAAAACGTGTGAACCAACCTTTTTTCATTTTTTTTTTCAATGCATGATATGATGCAAATTTTTGTCTTTTGAAAAATAAAACCATTTTCGGTTCATACTAATATTTTTAATAACACAGTCCAACAAAAATTTTGGTGTTTTGGTATTTTTTCATATTTTTGGATTTGGAGAGACTAAACTAATACGAAAATAATGGTCATACTAGATATAGATAGATAGATATATATAAACTAACCAAAACATTCCCGCCCCAGGTCGTGTCTTTAGACATCCCGCTTATCGTACGCTTGTTGTAGGTACTCGTTTTTTGAGGTTAGTGAACATTGTGAAGTCAAATACTTTGCACAAATATTCCAAATACGTTTTGCTATGTGTGTGAGGTGTTCTTTTTTGGTTAACACCCATGATATGGTGAGAGTCAACAAATCAACATGATGACTGCTATGTCTGCACGTACAATGTTCGTCAATTTGATAAAAAAAATTTGAAAAACATTGTTTATCCGAATTTTAATGCGATGAGCCCGTGCCCAGATGTCCCAATATCTGAGAATCTATCCAATTTAAAAGAAGATACCACCAGCCTTTCTGAATCTGAGATGAAGGCACCCTTAGTGACATTGGTGATATATGGAGAGTTCTCAGCAACCACAGTTATTTTCACAATCAGATCTTAATGACTTTTTTTAATTTTTACACTAACATCTGGACTTTTACATATTGGTACGATGAGTCTAACGTCGCAATGATGGCAGATTAGTGCTGGGAATTAAAAATGGGCAATCCACAAAAATAAACGGACTTAACTATTGTTTGCGAGTTTGTTATTTAATTAAGATTTTTTCAATTCGGCTTTTAGTCTTCTACTAATGAAAATAATGTTAAAATCAACCGATATTTTCATTTATTAATTCTTTTAATATTTATAAAAAACCTTACGTGATAGAGGAAAATGCGTATCACATTAAAATTTAGGAGGCGTAAATTATGCAGAATCAAATTTCAGGTCAAAATGAACTTTCAAAAGTTTAAAATTTGTCGGCCTGTGTAACTTAAACAAGTTCAGGAATATGCAATAAATTCGATCTTCTGGAAGACGAAAGATTTTTTAAAAGTTTTTTAAACTTTGGCTACTATATTGCGAATGATCATAATAACTGTTTAACAATCGTTTTTGGGAAAATACTCTGGAAAACAGTATCTTGTTTTATTGTTTTATCAAATCGGAGAATTGATAAAAGATAGAAGAACTCATTTATCGGAACTTAGATTTTTGAGTCCTAACAAATATTTTTTAAGTATTAATTTAATATTTGAATTGACTGGAAAGGAATGGGCAAATAACGTTCTCTTTGTTTCAAAACGCAACAAAAGCACCAATAACTGGAAAAGTTTTCGTTATCGAACGCTTAGACCGATCAAAACAATAATCGACACCTTTTAAACTTTTACAAAGGAACGTTTTCCACTCCGAACTCCTGGCGAAATTCAGATCAATGATGGAGAAAAAAAGGGCCTATATTGAATTAATTTTTTCCTTTTTAAAGGGTCGCAAACTGGTACAAAATTTTCTGATTCTTACGTTGCTCTTAATTGTATTAATATTAACTTTTGTAATTATTAATTACTTATTAACCCAATTATCCCAAGCATAAAAAAAAATAAAAAAAACTTTTTTGCTCTGAAATTATTTATTTTGTTGCACTTAAGAATACATTACATGTGTCAAAACAAAAAATTAAAATTCGAAACATACAAAAAAATACTGGTGCGTAAACGAATCACTGGGAAGAAACATTTAACAATGTTTTGGGGAATATAATTTATACATAAATATACAAAAGAAAGTCCAAATTCGACAGAAAACAACTAAAAGTAGATTGTTTTCCAAATAGAACCTGATTTGATACAAAAAAACGCATAATACATTATGGTGCGTGAGCGCACCACTGGTGACACCCGGGTTCATTTTTGGTGATGTTTTACAAAGCTTGAAGTATTACAAACATAAATTATGTGGCTGTGGCAGATTCTACATCTCCTTCGGGCTTTATTAGCCTGAACAATCATGAGGTGACCTTGATCATCATAATGCATCTATGGCAGGTGCAAGATTTCTTTGAGTAATTGTTTTATCAGTTTTTAAAAGTCGCAGAGCAATGTAAGATTTAAAATCGAATCAATCGCTTCGTCGTCAAAAAACTTAAAAAATATTTCAAGCGGTGTTTTTCCAGAAAACCTATTTTTTAGTTCCTCGCATGATCTCAATTCCTCAGATATAGGTGTGTGACAGTAGAAGCAAGCCTGTGGTTTGTAGAAAGCATACGTCTTCTTTTGAATTCCAGGGTTTCATCATCTGATGAGTCCCATTCAGGTTCAGTAGTTGATGAATTACAGGACTGTTGAAGAAGGATAGCTGCATGATTTGGTGTATGTAACTCGAAAGTTCCAACTATATCAGTTGATTCCCCAAGCTCTTATAGATTTATGTTATCGTTCATATCTTCTTCGTCAGTGGAATATGGACCGCGTCAATATGTTCTGTAAATATTTTTTCATGTTATTTTTAGCATAAATTTAAAAGGAATGGAATGCTACAATACATAAGAATACGTAAATCCAAATAATACTTACGACTAATTCCTTTTGAGTCAAGTACCTCGGAAATGCCATATTTTGCGAACTGTAACGTTCACTGTACAAGGTACAAGCTAATACTAAAGAACACGCTAATTGTTGGATATTTATTCTACATGCTCTGACTTGTTTAGACTTGCAATAACAAAGTTTTGTGTCACAGATAAAACCAGTGGTAGATTCACACACCAGGAAATATTTTCAAAAAATACAGCGTAATCAATATAGTATTTCCAATGTATGTTTTCTGGGATGTATGCTATACAAATCGAAAATATTTTATTTTACTATTTTGGATTTACTCGAAAATGTCATACAAATTTATGTACCACTTTTGTTAACTTTTGAAGACATATATATATATATATATATATATATATATATATATATATAAGATCTTTCCTTTACACATAAATTAACGATTTCTACTGTTTTATGTCCTTTAGTAGCGATAATAGTAAAATTTCTAAATGAATTTGCAAAAATATTTCCTGGATGTGACAAAAAAAGGCATAGAATAAATTGTATCAATATTAACTTTTGTAATTAATAATTAATTATTAAAAACGATCCAATTTACAACCATTTGAATCCGATCAACGCGGTGATCGACAAGCGACAGACATCAATTTTGACTGACCTTGAAGTTCGATTAATTCTCGCATCTTGGTCGGAAATCGAGCATGCTATCGACATTCTCAGGGCAGGCAGGGGTCGCTCCGGGCTGGCCTGACAAAGAGATTTATCTGGAAAAGCTATATGGTAATTTGTCGGGAACAATATATCCGGGACACAATGGACATTACAATCTCCATGCCTCCGCATCCACATCGATATCGAACGCGGAGAGATTGCGGCGGTCGACGACAATGACGTCATGAATTTATGGACGACATATAACGATCCGAGGCATAAATCAACAGCGAAACCTTTCCAAATTCGGTCAGATGCATATGGACGTCAAAACGGAAACACGCCCGCAGGCGGTTGCTATTGCGGCGGTGTGCGTGTAAAGACCACCGACGTATCCTTTCTACGCCATGAAAGTATCAAATTTGTTTTGCCTCTAAAATTATCCAACTCAATTAAATAGTTTTGCAAGGATCTTCATA